ATATATAGCATAAGTTAGAATGTGCGGGAATAAGTATAGCTAAGTAATAGTAGTAGTATTGGAAATTATAGCTATATTATTTGATTTTATGAGAAAAACACAATTTAGAAATTGAGATGAGCGCAAATGTGTAAAACATAAGTATAAAATATACCCATATATAATTGTAATTAAATAGCACCAAATGAATACGAGCAAGGATTATTTGATGATTGGTTCACAAAATTACAATAAGTTGATGCATTCTTCTAAGTAAGCTATGTCTCGTTCTCGAAAAAAGTAATTCCGTAGTTTATCAGATAGTTTGATAATTTTTGAATTATCTTTGGAATAGAAGTTCACGTGCTTTTTTGAAGATTGCGATGTAAAAGCGAACATTCATCGCCAAAACAGCAACAAAGAATTAAGAAAAGTGTGCGATTTTCGGATTGCATTGATTTGGAACAAGCAGAGTATGCTATTAATACGCAAGCGGAAAAGTACAATGAGAAGTGCACACATCAGACTGATGGATCTTATAGTTTTGGTCAGTACTCTTCTACTTTACTATTAGAAATATTGCAGATGTTTCGAAAAATGCACCAATTCTTGTTTTTTTGAAAAGAAAAAAAGAAAAAACTGTTTTCTCGACTTCCTTTGGCAATCAGTTCGATCGCTTTCATTAATGCCATTATTTAAACAACTCACTTTAAATTAAAAAAAAATCGGAAAATTCGATTCGAACATAAACAATAATCATTATCACAAAGAAGAACTAATAAACATGAGAAGTTATGTAAACATTGAAAACGAATTATCTATCAATCGATGGAATAGAAAGTCTTCTAGCAAAAATTCAAAGTGTCAGAGGCATTTAATTTTAAATTATTGATGAAGCGGCAACAACTATCATGAGTTCTAGTCATTTGTCGATAGTTCCTTTTCTTTTTTTCTTGCTTCTCTCTTCTTGTTTGTGCGGAAAGAAAAAACATAAGCTCATTTGAGATTTTTGATTGATTTCTCAAAACTCTCCGAAAAATAGAATAAAATTTAAAACGATTAATATTACTTAAAAAATATTCATGAACGAAATTTATTTCTATTGAACACACGAGGAAGGTGTTAGGTAATCATCTAATATATATCCACTCACTATTAATTACAAACATCATATCATTAAGCCATTTCAACAAAAAGTTGGAAATCACTCATCTAAATTTATAGAAAAAACAAAAATGAGTAGACCAATTAAATTGAGTTAGATTACAAATAATTTGAGTTAAAGTACAGATTGAGATTTGGGTTTGAGAGAATTTTAGTCTTAATGAATCATTGTAATAAGTGTTTCCTAGTTTACATCCTTTTTTTAATAAAAATTTTCAGCTTCAGAATTGCAATTACAAAAATATTTTTGCTTACCAACAGAAAATGAATTGAGATGGTTGGTCGGTGAACAATGCGTTCATTTGGAAAGTGTTCGGTGGTTCGGTCGCGCTATCACTGGTATGGTTCGGGTGAAGAATTTGGATTATGAAAAAAAAGTGCGTATTTAAACAAAAATAAGCACTGATTATCGCTAACATCGTCAATACGAAAATTTTTTCCCGGTTCATCAGATAATACATTTGGACTGAAATTTCTGGGATGTTACGGGCTCTGTTTATACGTTGGAATCGCTAACTCTCCTGTATCATTTCTTCAACTAATTTGGTTTCAATATTTTCACTCAACTATAGTTAGGAGAAGTTACTGATAACTATCAATTTTATCGTTATCACTTTTGTGTAGTGTAAACTTAAGCTCCTCTGGAAAATTCCAGTTGATCCGGAATTGATTCAATAATGAAATTAAATTTCATGGTGACATAATCATATGAACTACTTAAGCTATTTTCAAAATATTGAATCTCAACTTTCAAATCGCTGTGGTGAAAATTTTACAGATAGAAATATTGTATACCTTTAACGATTGGACTACCTCACACACTGTAAAAGGCGCTTATGCAGAGTAAGTACTTGCAGCCTTTGACATAATGAACTGACTTAGCTATTGCAATCTTTTGGGAAAGGAATTTGATCGAAAAAAGTATCTCACAAAAGGCAACCGTAGAAGCGTTGTTTTTGATAAAGGCGTACTATCAGAAAGCTTTTTGGGAGGCAGTTGAAATATTGACTTCCATAATTCTTTCTTCGTCCACTCTGGCCAGTTCGGAGGAGACATTAAATTTCAATAACGGAAAGGAGAGTTACATCAAATTTAATGAGGAACAATATTCCAGGAACTTGTTAATAAACTGTCTTAATAGAATGACTTTTATATTCTGGAATTTGAATACAGCAATTTAATATTTTTAAGACCGAGTTTATTACAACAATAGTATAATAATTTAAACTTCCAGATCACCGTCACCGCAAGAGGATCGATTCTCATTCTGCATATTCCTGCCATTCTTGAAACTCGATCTATGCATTTATTTCTACATAAGGTATGAATGTGATAGGAAGATATACTGGGATTCCAATTGCGGTGAGAATTATAAATTTGTATGTCATTCAGTTGCAACTTCCGAAAGAAATGGTATCAGGGAAAAAACAGCCTGCAGTAACAGTTCCTTAAATCCATTTTACGATTCCAATTGCTCAATATTTTTCTGATTTACTAAATCAATAAAATTTGTCAATTCTGAGCGTGACATTCAATGTCATATCATCCAACTTTTCGAGTTATTTCATATTAAGAAGCGATCGACCATCACTGCTAAATACAATAAATTTTGTTGCTTCGAAATTTAGAATTCCCAGAGATTCTTCATATTTCTTCAATATCTATATTAGCAGTAACTTAGATGAAGAGAGTAATAATTGATGTTTGCGAGCTTCAAATTGTTTTAAATTTAGGATACCAAACCAAATTCAATATCCTTAATATATCTATACAACTAAAATTTGTGTTTCAGTAACGCATTCATTAACCACCTACTTTACTCATGCCAGTGCTTTTTTTAATTTTATGTGAAATGCTGTGAACTTATCAATACGCCGTAAACTGCAAAAAGACGCAAACCCAAACACATTCGAAATTTCAAAATATGTTGTTAATTTTATGTCAAGTGTTCAGTAGAAGAGCCAGCTTTGCTTCTATATAAGTAGAACAAAACGCTGCTGCATTTTCATTTCTGACTGAAAGTATCATTCAAAAATTAACCGAGACATGGACACATATATACACCGATCCATGCAGAGATATGAAAGCTTTTAGACGTTGAAGAACAGAATTATATGAATAATTTAAGAACAAAGACTTACAAAACTGATGCGACCTACATGGGAAAATACTGAATTAAACAAACTTGCAATCAATGAAAACTATAAAATGTAATCGGCACAATTGTACCGAAAACCGTAATGAGAATTCACCACTTGTTAAATATAATTGTAATGAAAACCGTAATGAGAGTTCACCACTTATTATAATATCATCACTGTCGCACTCAATATCATCGCTGCCACACTCAACCCAATAACTGTTATTTAACTATATTTCCTACCCTGTATCTTGTGAAAAGCTCTTTTCTGTTTCATTATAATTTTGAGACAGGGCAAGGTTGCACCTGAACTAGCAGTCTTCATTTAAAGCGACATAATTTGAAAAATTTGTGGGGATTTATTATTACTGAAAAACTCTTAGTAAATCGAAAAACCCTTAAAGATATTGTAAGAACCATCAACAGGCTGACAAACATGCTTCAGCAAATGTTTCGTTGCTGTCAAGTGTCATATTTCGATCTCATCATGCACCAGAATTTCGTTCAGCATCAAAAGAAAAACATAATGAATGTAACCAAAACAATAAAATCAATTAGTAATAGTGTGACAAAAATATGTTATACTAAGAAATACCACACTTGAATAAAATGAAGCTATATTTATACAAAGCTATATTTTCATCGGAAAACGAAGCTATATGCTCATCGAGACCTAAAAGAAATGAGACAGAAATTGCTACTATCCATATAAAATAGGTAGGTTTAGAGCATTAATAATTGTGATTTTGTATTTGATCTAACTAAAACTGCCAACGTATCAATAAATGACTTCATGGTGAAAGCATTTCAGGCGCAATCTTCTTCGTATATATCTTTCCCTTAACAATTCCTATCAGAATAACCTAATCATAAATAATTTAATAATAGACGTTTTTGAACTTCAATTAAAGTGAAATTAAAGTGAGAAATATATTGAAAAAAAAATCACATACACTCTGATCCTCACAGATGAAACCAAGCAAAATTCATTATTGCTACTCCTAAAAAATAATATATGGATTTTTGAAAAAATTACAAAACAATTTTTTGTTAACGAGGAAAATACTAGCTACGAAAATTTAAAAGGTTAGAAATAAATCGAGACCTGATAAAGAGCATTTCACTGTATCCCATGGAAAGAAGTATCATAATATACATCACTCAAAAAGCAGTAGCACGATATCAAGGAAAATTAAAGACCATCAAAGATGAACTAAGATATATCTTTTTTCATCAATATCTTCTTTCCAACATGGTAAATAAAATTTTACATTTAGTTTTTTTTGTTCCTTTATGCCATGCTAATGTTTTTCGAGTAGAGAAAAGATAAAGATTGGGAAGCTTAACGAACAGGTGAAAAAAAACATCGAAATAGCTTATTTATATATGGACACTATTGAATCATTTGCTGTTTCAGCTTTACATAATTAAAAACAAAGAAAAATTTCAAAACGAAATAAAAGATAATTATCTCCTAAATGAAACAGAGGAAATAAAAAATAGAAAAGTTTATTTCCAACTGTGATAATAATGGTCAAATAGGAAAAGCTTTGCGGCAAATGACAGCTTGTAGGATCTCTACATACTCAATTTTACAAAACTCCTTTTAATTTCATGATACGACACAAAAAATATAATGATGGCGGACTGCTTCACCCTTTTATACTCAGTATGATCAAAAAAAGCGGACTCAGTATTTAAATGATTAGAAAGCATTCAAGGAGTTCTAACCAAAAAATTGGAGTGATCTCTTGGAAGATAAAGAATTATTCCACTTAAATTAACACTTATGGAAGAGAATTTGGAAAAATTCAATACATAAAAAAGTGATAAAAAATAAAAAGCTTTAAAAAAAATGCTGTATTGTCTTTCATTTTCGTCACCGCAAACGACATAAAGTGATTACCAATTGTCGAATACCGGAAACAATCACGAGAATAAAGTAAAAGATACTTTCGCAACAACCCCAGTTCCCTACATTATTCATCAGTATGAATTTGGAAGCGGTGGTGGTGTGGAAAAATTTGCCGATGGCGGTGAAACGGAATTATTGATTGATGCAACACTTCCCGTTATCTCGGATGGCAGAGTGGTGGAGCTCATACTCGTCATGACATTGTTATAATCAATCCTATATTCACCTGCAATTTAGTTCCATTTTGAACTTCTAATTTATTCCAAAAGCTAGATAAGACCCTGTATACAACGATAAATTAAATATGCATATTTGGAATAATATACGAGGATGCTGAGTTCATGATGCAATAGTGATCTAACTCGAAGACTTCTGTCCCATTGTTACCAACAATCTTATCATTTTCTACTTTTCAAAAGGAACCAAATAACTCGAAAAAGCTCATCACTTCCAGATCATGGTTATTTCATTCCTAAAATTTTATGTTGTTCTAGATTAATTATTTTAAGCAGTCTAATTTAATAATAGTTCTGAAAACTTACCACTTGCGATAATTTGCAGCATCGTTGGCTGAGTACAATATGCAAATGGATGACGACCAGCACAATTGCAACATGATAACCCATTGGGATTTGGAGGTAATGAAAGCAGCAATGGATAAGCTGGGACATTAGCGGTAGTAGCTAATAGCGACAACGGCCGTCCCAGTGATAAAAGTGGACCACGAGGTGGAGGAGGTACGTTTGTCATTGAAAATGGTGGGCAGGCTACACTAGTGCAACCCATCATACCAGCAGAACAAACAGTTGTTACAGGTAAAAATGTGACAGATAATGACGGATGACACACAGGTGTTTCGGTTAAGGGTGGATTGGAAGACGAAGGAGCATTACTGCTTGTTGGAGGTTTCTGAAAACAGAAAAAATAACTTCAAAATTATAATTAAAAACACAATAAGGCGCGAAAATGATCAGAAAACAGGATTTTCGTGCAAGAAAAATAAAATGTCGGAAAAATAAACGGCAAAGAAGTGCTGGATTCAGTAAAAAACTTGCACTGTTACAAAGATTTACTCTTCTTAATGATGCTTAGCAGACAAAGGATAGTATAAACTTGCTCTAACCCTTCAGTTTGGCCGCATTCATGTGTAATTCCAGAACTCTTGTAATCCATTCTATTCTCTTGTGATGAGATTAGATGATAACATTATCTCTCTCTTAAAACGATTGTGGTGAATAAAAAATATTGATCTTACTTTCAAATCAATAAGAGAAGGCAAAGAACGCGATATCAATGACTGCGGAGCCGAAAAAAGTGAAGAGCTCTCTAATCGAGATGGATAAAAGAAATCACGCACTATTGGGCAAACCAAGACACGAGCTGGGAGATCTGGCAATGCACTGCAATAAATTCATAATCAGTAATTTCATTGGGATCATTAAACAATGAGTACAACACACAATGGTCAATATACCGACATAAGCGGATATCTTCGTAACTAATATCAAACCCTATGACAAACATTCAATGTATTCTGGAAAAAAATTTTATTCGACTAGTCCCTCACTACATTTAAAAGTCATATAAATTTCGAGTTTGTAAAAAGTTCGTATTGATCGCGAAAAAATCAATAAGTTACCGAATGTAGCCCAAAATAGAACTAGGTTGTGAACGATTAAGATATGGAAGAACGCGAGGATTCCCCGTTTGAGCTCCTGCTTCATTCGGAAAACTATCTAATAAACGATTGTGTAAATCAGCGATTTGATCGGCCGTCCTAACAATATAAGATGTTTTCATATCACTCCATTCGATCTGAAAAATACACTTACAGTTACTTCAGAAGAAAGTTAAAAAGACTACATCTCAAAAAAACTATACCTATATTTAATAAAATGTTTCCTCATTGTTAACATTATGAAAACGATTGATTGAATACAAGCAAGAAAAAAGCTATTATCCTATACTCGATAAATAGTTCCCTCATTATATGCGTTTATCACTGATTTTAGAAAAAAATAAATGTTCAGAAAACTGTACCAATATTGAAAATATATTCGGAGAAGAATCATAATTCGTTACTTCAGCGTCCAAACGAGATATGACAACCGGTATATCATCGTTTTCAGACGTAGAAGCCTCGCAGCTCTGCAAAAGATAAAACATGAGATTTGGTGCCTAACATAATACGATTAAATTCCATGATAACGCATATGAGATATACATCAATTTCAAAGTTCTTGAAAAACAGACAAGAAAAAAACTAACTACAGTGATTAACAGAGTAAACAAAGTGGTTTACGAAGGTTTTGTTAAGATCATGAAGATCTGACTATTTAGTAAGGCACAATCCAGACATTTATTATCAAATACTGGTTATAGTAAAAATCCTATTAATCGACGTGAACCACCTGTTTCTCAATCGGAGCAGTCGGTTGAGGGAACAAAGTTTCCAAATATGTTCGGATACTTTCAAGCTTGATTTTATGCTCCACCGAGAAAGCTGCATGATGTTGCGCTGCGGAAAGCACCATAAGTAACTGAAATAAACAATATTACATCCACATAAAAACTGAATAAATAAACATACCAAATTTGCATCTTCTTTCAGCAACTGTATACTTTGCTGATTTCCCTACCTTAAGAACATAATTATGGTCTTCAATTAGCTCCCAAAAATCAACCATACGGTATGACTTAGTTCCTTTATGCGAACCTAAAATCTATTTAAAAGAATACTCAGACAATTAAAAAAAAATTTCCTTTTAGATTTAGAAAACTAATTTGTAAAGCTTTTTGAAAAAAAGTATCTAACCGAATCCAGCATTTCCTCCTTTTCGAGAGAAGATTTGCTGGCAGATGCAGCAATAAATTCATCATACAGCCGCTCTATTAGCCTGAATTGTATAAACTGGTCGATTTGATGAGTTATTTATCTGTTGAGGGATTTAAACATCTGTCCCAACAAAATAAAAACAAAAGTGATTGATTGAAAATTGAATTAAAATTTCCAGAACAACTAAAGAAACATACCGCATATATGCAGTAGCTGCTGGACGGTTCGTTGAATGCAAAAGGCACAACATCGGAAAAGCAAGCTCAAGAAGTCGATTGTATGATGCCGATTCTACGAAATTTTGTAAAAAAGAAGCATCATTATAGCGCAATTCATACTGGCGAAGATATAACGACTTCGAGCGCACAGCTGTTTCCACGCATGATCCTATATATCTGTAAATAAAAAATTATGATTTCGACAATAAATTGTAATTAGCTGACAATCATGAATAAGCTAAAGAATAACCCATAATTAATTTGTCTAATCCACTTAATCTATATCTGAACAACCGATAATGTGGATTACACAACATAATTTGACTAGAACGATCCCCATTACAACAAATACACTGTATCACATGATTTAAAGTCTTGATCATCCTGATAGAAAAACAATTACAATACAATTTTTTAAAAGTGGAATAAAACATGATACAACATTTCAACTGGGATTATTTAAGTTCGGAATGGCCAGGAAACGTTACTTGATGCCTAACATTGCTAGCTGCCACATCGTCTAATAAACCAGTATTATTGACTAAAATTTTCAGTTTAAATAAATGCTATTTGCCAACCTTTGCTCGTAAGCATTCAAGCACTGAATCACCTCTGCAATAGCTTCAACTCGCTGTGAACGCTTCATCTTACACACAGCTAATAATAGATCTGAATTCGCACCATCAACTTAAAATCAAATTTATGCATATGACATGTAAATGATAAAGCGACCATCATAAAAATGAAATTAAATTTATAATTTACAGAAAAATTCCCATGAATTCAAATTCTACTTAAAAAAGCTAGATATGACATGAAGAGACAATTATAGGCGGTAAAAACTTTAGCCTAACGTTGGATAGTTACAATATTGACATTAAATTTTGCAGAAAAATTCTCATGAGTCCAAATTCTATTTAAAAAACCTGCTATGACATGGATAATCTAAACTTTTATCTACAGATTCTGAAGAAAAAATTTCACCTGTCTGTGTACTTACGGAGCAGCTCGACTCTTTTTCAGTCATCAACGCCACGCTTCTCCTTTCGATGCACCGTAAATCATCAGGTTCGATTTCCAGCCCTGATCCTGATAAAAAGCCATCCTCATCTGGGTCGCCCGAAATAACACTACCGGCGGATGCTGAGCTAGTTTCTCGACTTGCACTTCTCGCAGTGCAATTTCCATTTATATTTGTCTGTAATTACAAGTGAAACACTATCTTGAAAGATAAATTTTTCTAGTATTTTGATTCGGATTAAACCATCAACAGTCTCTAGAATTGTCCGATTATTTGATATAAAGCATCTTCTGATTAATTTATTCATTAAATGCAAATGTATGTTAAAGGACGTTGTTCAATTTACCTACGAAGTACATCATAGATAGTGATTCTAACAATAGTTACCATAGCATTATTGTTGACCGCATTTTGTTGATTCTTATGACTGAAATGATTATTGTACTGCTTTGATCTACGGTGAAAGGTTGTTGTCACAGCGGAATAATCAGAATCCACAAGACTCCCATTACGACATACGCTGTTAGCATTCGAAAACTGGCCACGATAAGTGGTACTATGTCCCAAGTCACCGGCACCGTATTGTTGCATACCCTAACAAGTTCTCTATTGTAAAGTTCTCTTAACAAGTTCTCTATTATAATTAACATTACGGAATAAAACAAAAACATATAAACAAAAATCGATACTTTCGATATAGTATCATTCCAAACTAATGTTTAGAAAAACTCAGTCATGTTGAACAGCAAAGATCTCAGAAAAGCAATAAAAAATACAGCTTAAACAAATGCGGAATAAGACAAAAACATATAAACAGATCTGATAGTTTTGAAGTGTAAAATTTAACACAGAAGTGTAGAAAGTATCAATCAATACTGCTCGTTTTTGTGTTACAAAAGTTATTGTTATAATATCAAGTTTTCTTTTATATCATACCGTGTTCTATTAATACTTTACCAAATTTCTATCTCATTTTTCCTTTTTGTAATAAAGTTTTTATATCTACCGCTATAAAAATAAGGAACTATCTTAATGCCTGACAGAAACACGTACAAAGTTTCAAATTAATACGAATCTCTTTCATATTTAGATGGCACGAAAAAATATTGCAAGGTAATGGTAATCAACATCCTATAAGAAGCCATAAAACTTACATTTATCTCAGCAAAATGATTTCTCGTACTGGTACTCCGCTTTTTTCTACCCACCATTTCAGTGAAGTTTCTGTAAGCGCAAAGTCACAAAGAGTTCGAAGACTCACACAAAAGCAATCTAAGTTTTGTTTTAGTTACCAACCAATTCTGATTTAATTTGTTGTAAAAAATTGTTCCCAATCTACCGAATCTTAATTTATTATCAAAGACTGTTCCAGTAAAAAAACTATCTCAAATTGGGTAGCTTCACAGGGAAGCCTCTTACTTGAAACTTTTCACAACAATATTGAGAACAAAAATTGCACAGTAGGCTCGATATCTACAAACGTCGTCTAGGCTGTGAATCACGCAGTATCTTTGTTACATGAATTGTTTATAAAGCGATGTGCACGCTGGGAGATTAGTTCGGGTAATTTTAGAAGATGGGTTTCAAGTTTAGGATTATGCAATATTGTTGATAGTACCATCTTGTACACGCTATTTAGGTTGTCCATTCAGCAATCTCCGTGCGGTTCAAAAATAAGTCTCATACTATTCATTTTCATTAGTGATGTTTTTTTCGGTTTCCAGTCTTATGCCACAGTGGCATGAACATGAAGCATATTAGTTGTCAAATGATAATCATTTCGGCGATCGTCAGCGAAAGAGATACAAAACCGATTAATTGGTACGATAAGAAAAAATTGAATAATTTTTAGACGCGTGAAATTTTATTTTGCAGAAATTAGGCCATTTTTTTCCGAAAAGACATCAATATCTTCAATATTAAGTTAAAAGTTTGTGAATATTCTGAAAATGGAAAATGTAGTGAAATGTTGCAACACTCATAACGAAAACAACGCTCTTACAAAAAAGAATGCAAGAAATGTAGCGATATGATATTCAAATATTTCTGCCTCTGAAAAATTGGATGCAATGATCCTCCTTAAATTCATTTCAGTAATGATAAATCACTCAAATATTTTGCTGAGATTAAGAAGAAAGAAAATATAGAAAGATTGTCGGGTAATTCGATAAAGTTTTTCCAAAACATTACGCAACTGTATCTGTTTTAACAGTATATATTTCATACCGATATTTAATACCCTTTTCCTCCTGCACCTCTCCCTCTACACTTTTTATAAAGCGATCGTAGTCAACTTCAGGAAAGAAGATATCAGCCGAAAAATCGCCCTCCACACGGGTGATATACAGCTGCAAAATTTCCATATGTATATAATAATTAGTAAATAGGAATTAATAATTAATAACAACTAGTAATTAATAATGAATGGGACTTAATGAAAACATAGAAAACCACAGTTCATCATAGCCAAGCAGTATATCTGAAAAGTTGAGATTTTCAGTACTAAACAACTAAGCAATAAAAAAGTTGCCTGATGTAGAAATGGTGAATTAAGCCCTAATTCATACACTTTTTCACCACCAATGTTCCATATCGTCTCAATATTATTCATATCTTGCAGCAAACTGACTGCACTTTCAAAGCTTCGAGCCACTATTAAATTCTTGTCCGTCACTTCTTCCATCTATAAAAATGACGGTGAAGAAAAAATTTCTAGCATTTACTTTTTTAAATTAGCCGATCTTATTGAACGAAGCAAAGATAATCCTTACTGAAAATTTAATTGGAACTGAACTACTCATAACCTGGAGAAGCAAACGGAATAATTTAACACGTGATGTCATACGACTATCTAAATATCTAAATACGATAGGCAGTGAAATCATTTACCGCAGTGAAATCATTACCGCTGTTACAATGAATTTCGCAAGGATATAGAATGAGAATGATTAAGATCACCTCTTTGGAAAAATTAGATGAGGTGCATGCAAATTCCAGCAATTTTCAATAGTTTATGAGGACTTAAAAGAATCGGATCACGAAAAAAACTGTAAAAAGCAACTTAATCTTCGGGGAACTTTTGCTTGGATACAATTTATATTATTCTCAATTTCAGAAATAAAATCGAGAAGATAAAAAACGAGCAAGGAAAATGAGCACCTTTCTACTGAGAACAATATTGAAACGATCCTTCAATGGCCTAAATTTTGGTGGTATACTTTCCCAAACTTTTCGACCCATTATCACAGCATTTTTCTTCTTTCTATTTGTTGTTAATGTAGTCAGCTTAGAAAATCGCGCCATTTCCGCAGGTAAATCCCACGGTAAGCCACCATTTTGTCCAATTCCACCACAATCATCCATAGCAACAATTAGGTTCATATGGATGGTTCTGGTCATTATCGTCCTGAAACGCCTCATTCAATAAGTTTAACTGCTCGAAAGCGATATGAATGATATGAGAAGAATGAATTACGAAGTGAATTACGCAGTTGAAATAATAAGCCTGTCCATGACACACAGTTTGTTAGCAAAGTCACTCTACAAGCATTCAGATCATCTGCCAGTCATTCAATCATCTAGACAATAGGTGGACAGCTCTCCTAACATTTCATAGAGTTTAGGGGTTTTTCAAAGAGACTCATAACTGGTGATGGACCTTCTTAGAAAACCAATAGCCAAACCCCACTTGCAAGATGAGGATAGCAAAAATACGGCCCATTGAGTAGGTCAACTGCTCAGTATAAATTAAATAATTTTGCACCCGGTATTTACTAAGAGTGTCTGTTGTGGGATTCTACGTGAGCGAGAGTTGTTATGATTAAATAAACATGTATTATGGCAGTGATTTAATTTCAGGATGAGTATTGAGAATGAAAAGTCGAGATGTCACAGTTTAAATGCTTTGTCAACTTCATGTTTCGCTTTTCTTTTCCGAAAACCGACTAGAGATTGGTTTCAAACATGTTGCACTCAACATGAATGCTTTCTGGTGGATGCATGCATTCCGGCAATATTATTTTTCTCTCAAAAGTAATTTTAATTGTAGAAGTTCATTATCCATTACTGATTTTCATAGTAATAATTATGATGAAAGTAGAATATCACAGTACCAACAGTACTGACGGCAGTGAAAATATTGGCAATAAGCTACGCAGTAAATGCAGTCGTTAAAATAAAGGCATCTATACCAATCAACTAGACTCCTAATTAATTAACCGAACAATGCTAATAAATTGGCATTTTCAGGTATTCCAATAACGCAGGGGCAATGTTAGGCATATCAAAAGCACTAGCGCGATTAATGATCATATTGAGGCAAGTTTAGCATTTAGAATGCGTATTTGGCTGTGAACCGTTCATAAATCAGTTTTTGTTGTGAAAAACTCAACTAAATAGCTGGTCGAAAATTAAGTGTAAAACTTGCATATTTTTCAGAGAAGAAGAATGGGTATTGAAAGAATCCGAGGAAGATAAACTGTTTGATTTTGTCTGCAGATTCTGGGATTATGTTTCGGAGGCGGTATGTCACGACTGTGTCAGCATTTTTGAATCGCTAATGAAATTGCATGTTACGAAATGCATATCTAATGGTCCTCTCTCTTCATGGGCTAAAAATATTAGAAAGTTCCTAATTGATTCACCGTCGTCTTGTCGTGGTCGTTATCGATGTATCGTATGTTTTTTGAAGTTTTTGTTTCATTAAGATCTGCAATTGGAGATGCTGAACTATAGCATGCCCTATCGTTGAAGGTGTCGCATTATAGCCCTAAAAGTCCTGCAGAATTGTTGTTTGGTCAAGAATTTTTTCTCATTTAATTTTTATTCTATAATTTGGCATGATTGTGCTTTTCATTCATTAATAGTATCATTCTCTTAATTAGTATCTTCCAGTTGGTATACAGTAAAATAGTATCGTCGTTTTCGGAAAATCTCGCAGATAACTTCTGTAAAGAATTATATACTTCATTATCGAACCCAACTCTAATTGCTGTAGTAAGTAAACACATTCAAAACTTTTTCCCTTATTCCATTCCTTGATTTTTGTGTAAAAAACGAAAGCGCAATATGTATAATATGGAAATGTTTTAGATGTGGTCATGTTTTTGCTTGTATTTATGTATTTTATACAGTACTTATATTGCAGGTCAGCGAGCTCATTGCTTTTGATGTTGTCAAGAATCTTGATAATTTAGATCGACTTCAGTTTCACAGTAATTTATTGCGCGCATCACTTCAGTCACCAATAAAAGCAGTCCGCAGTGCTGTTCAGAAGCGATTGTTGCCTGAGTTTTCGAAAAACTCTCTGCTTTTGGATTGGGTAGTTAAAGAATTGAAAATATTTCAGACAGGTTTGCTTGTCTTATAGTATCTAATTATTTTTAAATGTATTTCAATATAGATCTCAGATCTCATTGTAACTGCTTTAGTACTAATGAGATGTAATTAAGCAACCTATAGGTGCTGAAATGTTTAGTACTGAGCAAATGTTGTGAATGATTCCAAACAAACATTGTAATGGATATTTAAGTATTGCAGGCAATATATGTGGTAGAATCGACCTTGAAACATCGCTTTATACTGCGAAATTTTGTTTGTTCCACCAGAAAGAGAACGGAAATGTTTTAGAGTGGACTTCATTCATTGATGAAAACTTGGTAATTTCTGCACTACTCAATGCCACTACACAGGTAAAGAACATAAATTTCTGATTTCGAAAACGTTGGTTTTGCGAAAAAAAAGAAAGCATTCCTTGTATTTTTCAATCATTTTTTTTTGTATTCAAGTAATGAATTCAGTTACCAGTATTAATCGGTCCCCAACTAGATTCCTTGCCTATTTCCCTGAATACAAAAAATGAAATGTGAGATAAAGCTTAACACTCCAAGCTATAGCATTCTTCATCATCGGCATTAGTTGTTGAGTTAAACTTCATTGTTAATATGAATCATGTATTTATTTTTGTGTGACTGTTTGTAAAATCTAGCGTTTAGATTCGTTTAACGGCCTGGAGTCTGATTTGTGACCATCCTAAGTTGGCAATTTCGATTTCGAACCGCCACCTATTGCTTTATAAATGCTTTTTGGCGACGAATATGGCTGAACAGTCACCTGCTATCAGACTTATAATATTATATGGTTTAAAAAAAGTAAATGCTCAGTTTCATTGTAACTATTTCATTCTTAATGTTTATTTGGCACATCAGGTTTTGTGTATATTTAAAAATCAAAGCCACCTGACAATCGGCTTGACCTCTACAAGATTCAATAGTATCAACTGACTGGCTGTATTTTGAGGTTTTTAATTCTCAGAATAGTTGCCATTTCAAGTTGGAAAAAATTATAAAAGTCGACATTAATTGAAGGCATATTTCATATAAAGTATATTCCATCTGTTTCTCTTATTCTTTATTGCCATAAGGCTTTAGTCAAAAGCTTTATTGTGGCTTGACATAATGAAGAAATTTTTTCTCCTTTATGACAATTATATTCTAGTTCAATTTTCTTTAATTTCAGTTACTGAGTTACTGATTTTTCAGATATTGATTCGGATTCGTGAAAGTGGCCAAAATATTTTGAAAAACGGCAGTGATGAAGGCGAATTAAAACCACATGTAGATTTTATCTGCTGGTTGCGTGACTTGTGTTTTCAAAATTTAGTGAAATATGCAAACTTCAGCAGGCGTATAATGGCTCTTCAAATGCTAGAATATCTTTTTATGGAGAACTACTTGGCTACCGATGACAAAGGTATTTATTTAGAACGAAGTTCAACTTAAAAATTCATACTTAGTAGGTTTGAAGCAGCAGATGCAATAGGTAGCTGCATTAGTCTTCATCTCTCTCCAGGACTTTCGTCATTTATTCCGCTTATATCATTGGTTGAACGGTATATGGCTTTATATTTATAATTTCGAAAGAAAATCCAAATTTAAATCGTTACCTTGATCATGTATTTTGGTTGTGCAGTCTGTCTTAGGTGGTCATCAGTGAGTACACCTTTTTGGCTTACCGGAATTCTCTTTGATTTAATGTATCTCTTAGTCTTTTTTATATTTCTATACAATAACATCTGGATTTGGTTTTGAAAAGGTGAAGTATTCAAGGATTTTCTGCTCTAGACATGTAAATAACGTGACTTGTATTTTTCTCTCTTTGATAACTTTGAAGAACTTTTCAGATATGTTTTTCAAGTTCTTGTCATCAAAACTGAAGCCAACAGAGGAACAGATTTGTCGTGTAATACGTTGTTTGGATGACTCATATCACTTATGTCAAATTTCAGCTCTTCGATTACTATCTTCATCATTTTTCGAAATCTGTAATTTTGTGAGTTAAATTTTCTCGAAAAGTAAATGAAAATCTGCTGTTTGCAATCAATCTCAGAGTTATCTATTAAGGATATGACATGTACTTCTTGATGTGTTTTTTTCCACCATGTTGCATATTACAGTATATTAAATTTCTATGCCACACTTAAAATTTAATTTAATGCATCTTTCTAACCTAAGCTGGTGTCGATGATTAAAACTTTTGTATTTAAATCATTAAATTCTATTTGGCTTACAAAGACTTTGAATTTGCAGGATTTTGCTTCGTATTTCTCAGAAACGAAGCATCAGTTGTTATCCATTCGGTCACTATTCACACTCACGTCCAGTTATCGTTTGCTCTTTTATCTTAAGAAAAACCCGGACAACTTGAAGAACGTCTTTCAATATCTCCTTAATCTGTGCAAAGATCGAATAAAGCTCATCTCAGAAGATTTTCTAATGATAGCAAGAAATCAAGGCTTTGTTTATTCCGTATTAAGCGCAATCAGAGTGGTATTGGAACTTCTGGATTTTCAATGTTCTCTGTAGGGTTATTTTTATACATTATATTTTTCCTTATTTTATTCTTCTTGAACTTCTGGACTGATAACCTTTCGATATATCAAGTTAATTGCCAAAATGTCATATCTGCTACCTGATGAGATTGGAGAGATTTCAGAATATTTAGCTTTCCGACTAACAAATTTCACAAGAGCGCTGTAAAGCTCTATGCTTTTACCTTCTGGAATGTTAACTATACGCTGTTATTAGCTGTAATTATTTCAATTATTTTCTTCTATTGTTTTGATATTAAAGCAGTAAAAGTGCTTTGATATAAGTTGATATCAATTTAGAAAGAACGATTGGAGTGTTACATTGATTAACCATGATTTGTTACCGGTGTGTTTCCAAATAAGTGAGTTGGTGGCGCCTATCGTAAACAGCATGTCACCCGAAGGTTTCGTTCCTGACGATCAAATAAATATCATTGGTATGTTACCCAGGCACATTTTTTGAAATTCCGACAACTTATCTTTTGGATATTTATTTTGAATTCTACATCGGTTTTTATGTGATCGATTTGGATGACTGTTAAAAATATAAAGCTCATTTTCAGTAAGTGTTAAAGACTTCAAAAAATCAAAGGAAAATACGGATTTTTGTCAAGCATTACTGGCAAGTTGTTGGCGTTCACACAAATATGTTTCTGCAATATTTTATATAATAATCACAAAGGTTCTTTTGCTCATATATTTTGGCTTTCCAGCTTGCAGTTTTTGAAAGTCTTTTACTAATTTTTTTTGCTCACCCGAAGGTTTCGTTGTTGATGATTATATAAATATCATTAATAAATCATCCAAGCGCATTTTTTGAAATTCTGGAAACTTATCTTCTGAATATTTATTTTGAATTCTGCACCAGTTTTTATAAAGAGTTATGTTGATTGTTCAAGTTGAGCGATTTGGATGAGTGTTAAAAATATAAAGTTCATTTTCAAGTGTTAAACACTTCGAAAAATCAAAGGAAAATACAGATTTTTGTCAAGCATTATTAGCAAATTGTTGGCGCTCACACAAAAATTTTAACTTCATTGTTGATGCGAAATATGCTTATGCGTGCCTGAAATTTCATCGTTTATGAAATGATATTGGATGCTCATTGTCCTCATCGGGGAAAAAAAATTGCAGATTTTAGCTATATTTAAAGCTTTTATTACAAAATCCATGGAACTAAATTTGCTTTAGTGGTTCGGAAATTCTGCACTTTCTTCGGAAGCTATGGGACATATATGCAATTATTATTGGCGACACCTGACAGAATGTAAGCACTGTGGTGCTGTGGAAGCAGCAATTGAAGGGTTCGAAGCATTATGTGTAAAACTTTGGTCGTTCGCTTTAACTGATAGTCCGGAATTTATGGATTTACCTCAGCCAGAGGCGTGGGTAAAACAAATTATTGACTTAATTGATAGCAAGAAGAGTTGGTTTTTGCTGTGTATTTTTGTAACTAAGATCAATAGAGAATAGTTGACTTTCCTGAAAGCAAAATTTATTACTTAAAATTTATTGTTGAAATCTGAATTCGATTTTAACCTATCTGATAATACTTCAACATGCCACTCCCTTTTTGTGTCGAATTCAAAATTGGAAGCTATAATGCTATCATTCATCGTATTTTTGTGGATGGTAATTTAGTCTTCGTACGATACCTAAATAAATTAATTTTTACTTAAATAAATTAATTTTTTTCTAAAGTGTCTCAGTGTTGACAATGAGCACATGCTGTTGATGTTCTAGACGCATTATGTGCAACCCGTCGAAGTGCTGGTTTGCCATATTTGATTGCTTCAATTCTTGCAAAAGAACCGATCGCAAATGATGCACAATGCCTAAAAACAACGATGATATCTTTGCTTGAAAACGAAGGAAAGTCAATTAAAGCACAGTGAGTTTTTCTGTTAGACTGCTCATGTTATTTTGGTAACACATAGGACATAGTAACTGCCATCTTTTTTACGGATGTTCACCAACCGCTGTTATTAATCTCAGTAGTCGATACATTCAAGCGCATCATGTTTAAGTTTCAAAAACTTAGTTTAAGTTTAAAAATATTCTGTTATATTCATTTTCTAATCATAGTTGAATTTTATGATGGACTTTGGCACTGGAAATTGCATTAATAATCAGATGATTGCTTCAGATTTCTAAATAGTACATAAATTATTAATTACTCTTTTTAGAATTCGTTCTTCTGGAAGTTTTTTGAACATTTCAGGATTCATAGTATTAATATCATGCGGACTATTTTTCTGAATAGCCGCCTATCTGATGCAGTTTTGTGTTATATCGAACCTGCGGTGAATATCTGTTTCGCTTCTTTTAGTTCTAGTAGTTGGGCAGTACGAAGTGCTGCATCACAATTGTTCGCTGCGCTGATTAATCGAATATTTGGTATCCCTCGAAGCATGCAACTCTCACTTCATCCACATGAGAAAAATCGCTTGTCTTCTTTTGAGTTCTTCACAAGGTTGGGTAATTTAGATGAGATTTTTTTGGCCTAATCCTTAAAAATGACTTCTATACTTCAGTTAATGTATTAACATTGCAGATTAACATTCGTTGATAGCAACAATTGATTATTAATGGTTGAATTTTTTCTCTCTTCTCTTAAGTTTGCATGACAACATTTGAGATTTTGAAAGGGAACATGTAATATATCTGGCACAGTGGATAGCTTAATACTTGTCATCGTCAATATTTTTAGTCTCAGATGATGTAATTTATTTTTTGAAATTATGCATCGAGATATAAATATTATTTGTGACATGTTTGATGCCTCAGCAAACTGAGATGGTATGAAAATGAGCTGAATTAAATTTTAACAGAATAAATTCAATTCTAATATTATAGGTTTCCAACATTGTATGATTTGTTACACCGACAGTTTTATGAAAACGAGAAATCTGTCTCACAGCTGAGAATGTTCGCCGTTTTCGTTTTTCTTATTCACCTATTCCCCTCTCCACGGCACACCAATATTTATTCACTTGCTACTTATGTCCTTCCACTGCTAAAATTTTCGCTATCTTGTCGTGCTATGAGACTCCGAGAATTATCTGTAGCGGCACTTATTTCTATTTGTGAAATTCAGGTACGAAAGCATTCATGTGACACTTATATAATGTATCATTGTGAGCCCAGGAGATGCGCAGTAATTGTTCTTTTGAACGATTATGTAAATCATATAGTGACAATACTTGCTATGGAGCTTTCCTGTTTGATATTCTGACCAACATTTTTTCTTTGCACCTATATTATGTCTGTTTCAGGATGCCTATTTCTTGTTAAAATGGATTTCAAATATCAATCTTACTACATATCCTCAAAATGAAATTTGTGCAATTATGTACATGGTATTTTTTAAAATATTGATTAGATTATCAAATAACAAAAGAGAATATAAATTCTCAATGCAATCCTTCTTTTGGCCATAGACTGAGAAATCAGAGGATATATTTTTCTATTTAGGAAATCGGCATTCACTTTATGATAATTAAATTACAGTTAATGGAACTTGCTGTTGCATTTGAGGGATCTGAATTACAAGGTTTCATACAATCGGTAATCAAAAGAGTCGAAAATGGAAAACATTTTGAAAGATGGTATGGTTTTTTTCTTATAGCGAAGTCATTGTAATATTGTAATTGTGCAAGACAAAATTACAATATCATTTCATGCAGTAGGAAGTGTTATACATAATTTTCTGTCTCAGTAAATAATACCTTAGATTTAAAGAATTCGAATTCATTTGCTGCGAAATGTAGGAATTGTTATTAAAATATATTGTTGGTCATTTCAAATTTTTAAAACTTAAAAAATTAGCAGCCAGATTGTAAATTGCGATGATCAGTCTTCAGTCTTTTTTTCAGGTGCGATTACAATAGGTTTTTGTTTTTGACATTGCTTCTTAAAATCAGATATCAGTTCGCAGTATCATTCGTGGAAGAATTTGTTTTGTCAAATGCAATTTTGGTTTTTAGACCCTTAGCAAAATGGATTGCTAAAGAAATTGAAGTTATGTTTATTATAAAGCAAAGAGTTAAAAAGATCTTGTGTATTTAATATTTTCTGAGATATTTAAATCTCAGTTGAATAGCTTTTCTTAGCATGCATTTAAAGATCGCTTGATTAATTTTTTTTGCCACTTCCTCTAATATGGTCATTTTAGAATATTTCTATATTACTTGAATTTTAAGCACTAATTCGGACTTATTAAAAATGGATTGCTTTAGATGACAAAATTTCTTTTGAAATCAAGAAACTGTTAGTGAACAGTAGAGCCTTGCGCCTTGAATTCTGGCGAGCACTGTCGAAATCGACTACAATGAGATTTACTGAAATTGAAATGATTCAATTAGCAGTTGGAGACATTCGAAATTCAGGGCCATTTGTGCAACATTATGTAAGCCACTTCTAAACAAAAAAAATAAAAAGTGAATTGGTAGAAGGCAGGAGTGGCAAATATTTTTGATATTTAAAATTTTTCTCCTTTTCGATTTTATCATATAATGAATGGCACATTGCAGATTTTGACATTGTTTCTGAATAGTCCAACGGCAGATCTAGCAGGATTATTTGATAGTTGTTTTCTAAAGCATTTTGTTCACGAACTGATAACGATGAGGTTAGATATTTAATAGATTTCAATTGAAAGGGATACTTAGTACATTCGATTCAATACTACGAGAGGTGTTTGATCTTGAAAGCAGTGAGTTTATACTATAGTGCATCGTAGTAACAGTCATATGAATTATGAACAGTATGAATAGTATTTTTCAAAGGCAGTTTTACTCATATTTTGGTAAAATTTGATTTATCGTAGGCAGAGTAACCAACATCTGGCAAATTTGCTTCTTATAAAATTGGATCATAATAAATGGCGCTTTGAATGGTTGTATAGCAGTGCTGTTAATGAGGACCAAAAAGTTCAGTCCATAGCTGTTCGAGCTTTGGAATTGCTTTTGAAAAGAGGTTTTTATTATTTGTACTTCGATATCTGCATGTAATCTTTTTTGTCAGGATTTACAATAATTGTAAATTGTTAGGTAATCCGGATATTCAACTATGTAAAATCATTGTTTTGCTGTTGAAGAGCGAAAATGAAACGATCAGAGAAAAAGTTAGTTTTCTTTTTTTGTTTTATTATATGAAACATTTCTCATCAGTTGGTATGCGTTTATTAATTTTATATGGATTTTTTGAAAATGTTGAACACATTCGAAGTCTATTTCAAAATGATAAATCTGAAACCGTTGTGTTTGCTATACAAATATAATGTTTTATTACGTTCAAATTTCGTCTTCCTAAACTTAGGAAACAATTGCAGGTTGCAGAACTATGTTCTCATGTAGTCAATTTGAAAATCGCTTCATTGAATCCGGAAATTTTATTCTGGTGGTTTGTGCAGCACTATCCCGAAGTTGAAGAATTTATTAACCAGCATGATAGTTTTGATAACAATGAACATACTCGTCTTTTTGATGCATGCGTTTCAAACCCTTACATCGAAGCAATTCCAATCTGTAGTGAATATTTAAGTAGTGTGTTGCACTTAATATCATGATTTTTAATGATTTGATTATCACTTCAAATGTTAAAATGTTTACGGGCACTTCGTTCAAATGCTCACTTTTTTTGAATTGCATTTCGCAATTCTTTTGGTCATTATGAAATGGACCTTTTTTGGTAATAATTAGTGTTAAATTTCCGAAAAATTAAATGACTGTGAAAAATATGCAGTCTACTTTGCTATATGCTCATCTAAACTATTTTAACAAAGATACACTATTTCATTTTTGTAAAGAAATAATAATAACATTTTCTGCCGAAGATTCAGGTTGGAGATTTTCCTTTTTGAACAGAAAATATGTTGGTCTTGATCTAAGATTTCGTTCTGAAGCGCTTTTCAACTGTCCTCAAAAAAAGTTATTTTTATATTCAATAACGTGAAGTATAAATAATAGTTAGCCTTATTTCCTTCTTTTTTAAATTATTCTTAAGTTGTAAGTAGTTACATCTTTTAATCTCATTTGTTTTATTTTCAAAAGTGATTGGAAAAAGTGATGTTTTTAGATAGCATATAGTAGGAATAATTCTGTATTTATAAACAGTTGTCTTCGTTTAATACGATTGATAAGTAACGACAGCCGCTTTTCAATGAAGTCGGTAAGAGTAGAAGTTAGCTAAGTCTGAAATAGTTTTTTAGACTTCCTTGTACTGCATTGTAAAAAGCGAGAAGTGAGGAACTGAGCAATAGGTATAGGTGGAAGCTCTCTCAATATTAAGTGTAATGATTCATGTTTGGGGCAGTTGATACATTAGCAGTTATAGAATGGGGTTGAAATGAAATAATATAAATAGCATTACTCGCCATAAAGAGTTGCTCTGGTTCCGCGACTAAACGCCGGATGTAGATTTGAGTATAAGGTTCGAATCTGCGAAGCAGTCCGCTATACCATCATAAGCTTTCCAAAGCCCTTCATGGTGAGTCATGACTGCAATAGTAATAGTCATACCACAAGTAACCCTGGTCGTGACCTTGCTAATTATGGTCGAGATCTTCTCAAATATGTGGTATAAAATCTACTCGTTTGCAGCAGCTATTATATGAACACTTAGTCTATGCTGCTGTCTTTAACACAAAACCTGAAATGTTTTGCACCAACTTCAGTAGTATTTTTACCACCTTTATTGAAACGCTACCAATTAAGCTGCCACTGAAAATGACCAACTCAATGTTTTTAATATAATGAAATGCTACTCAATACTTAATCTTCACTACTAAGTAATTTAGGATTTGATGAGGAATACGGACATTTTGATAGATTCTGAAACGAACATGTACGTAAGTTTCCTACATATAATTGATGCTTAAAATGGCATTAATGTTTTTATTAGCGCAATGAGATAGAAATATGGATAAAAGCCATTTTTATTATCCATTCGGAAGTGCAATTTTTTTAATCAGTTCGATCACTTTCTTCTGCGCCAAGATGTCCACATGCTCGCCATCTTTGACTGCATAGAGGGATATCTATAATGAACTATCTTCATCGTGTTCGATATACATTCTTTGAGTTAAAATTTGTGTGTAATTTCTTTCTTTAATTTTCAGTCATTCTAAATTAAAAGTTTTAAACAGCATGGCATTTGGCCCGGTCGAAGAGTGTGCTAAACAGGATTTTGTAAAGTTTGTGATATTGAGGTATTATAAACTTTATATATATATATATAAATATCAAGCCGAGCAAAAATTGAGTTATACAAATAACTCGACGTGGATTTCAATTTCCTTTCCTATTTGATAATACTTTCCAGCGAAACACGTCCTAGTATTTCGAGGACTCAAAATTTTCCGAGTATATAAATAATTGATCAAAAATTAAAAAAAATGAGGCTAACTCATGCATAACTTTAAGATAATTTTTGATAATTTTCCAAAAATTGAAAACACCCAAGAAAGGTTAGAAGAGATAAGAAAGTTTCGGCTGTCTATGTTAAAGTTGTTACCTTTTTGCCACCATTTCTACCAACCCATTTTTTGCATGCTTCAAGAGAACGTCGATTAACAGTACCATCACCATCACCATAAATGGTATCTGGTTGATAAGCTGGGAATCGCTTTTTGGACCATTTAAAAGATTCTGGTGTGTCAATCCCATACCCGTAAATACAATGTATCTGAAAACGTTTAGCTATACTTTGAGAAGAGAGTTGTAGAGCTTTTCAATTTTAACTACAATGTTTTGTATGGGATGGATACATTGTGAAATCATAATTCGTCTGCATTTTGATGTATTAAAATTTCTCTGATAATCCGTTTTATAATTTATTCGATTAGGCCGTACTTCAACATTCGGTGCTTGAAAATCGTCGAGTAAATGAGCTGTATTCTGGTATTGATACCAGCCAACTTTATAGTTAATATCTTTGAAAAATTCTTCCACGTTCTTCAGCGTGTAATTTTTGTCGTCAACTGTTGCCAATATCTATAACAAAATGTTAAACATTAAAAATTTTTTTCAGTAAAATTTCATTTAATTTTGATTCAATAAATTTGATGAAAAAATCAACGAATAAGTTGTATTTAAATTTCCAAAATGCCTCCCTCACTCCCTCACTCACTGTTATTTCTGCAGTTGTTCTTACTTCATTTATTACCTGCGATTCATACAACTTTCCCCTATAAATTCTATTTAAACTTCATCATATAAATAAGCGACAATCCCACACCCTCCTTCAAAAACAATAACATACAATGTTTTCTTTTTTTCATTCATCCAATTGATTTCCCTTTTATTTGAAGTTTTTCAATGAAAAAAAAAGATCTTGCAGGTACACCTACTTTATCCTCACTCCAAACATTATAGTTTGGAAAAAGAAATGTCGAACTGGTGAATGATCGTTGCATTTCACGCAATGAGCTTGGCGGTAACAGAATTCTGTAGTGGTTCATATTATAGCCTATAATTTTGGCACCGAAATAGAGTAAATTCAGCAATGTTGTAAAAGATTTGGTCAAAAATCAGGTGCTTATACACAGTAATTTGAACAATAGCTTCATAAGATGAAAAAAGGCACTGTACAACTATGTAATCAGCACGGCTTTTTTCACTTTATTTTCCGAGCGCTTATTTCACTAGATATACTTTTTACGAATCTGTTAAGTCGAGACTGGTAATCGAGAATGCCTTCACTAAACAAATAATGCGATTTTCTCTAGATATCCATCCTGTGATTTCTTGCCCTTCCAAGTTGCTATAAGCTTCAGTGTTATATCTTGCTCATGTTAAATTTTCTAGTGACGATCTTTGCAGTTATCAAAAATTATTATGACGAAAAATTTATTGAATTGATCGTGAAATATATTTGCAAAGCCAGAACTTAGGCGTACAATAATTACTTACAGATTCACCTGAAGCAAGAAGACGAATAATTTGAATAGCACCGCCCCAGGCGCCAGCTATCGAAATATGAGAATAAATAAATTTGTCCTTCCATTCCTGTTATTTTCACCTTTTCATATAGAAACATAGAAAATTACTGATAAATTATATTACTAAAAGTATTATTCAATTTAGAAAAATAAGTGGAGAAGTTTATTGAAAAAATATTAATTATATTACTGAGAGAAATATAAGAAAATATTAAGCTATTGATTAGCAAAACATTACTGAACGCAGTTCAAACCCATTGCTAATAGTGATGCTATTGCATGCCACATTACCTTGCTGACAGATACGTTCTTGCGGCTTGCCTGAATAACTTCCGCTATATCTCTTCCCTCATATAACAAAATCATTCCCACAGGAAGAGAAATTTAACTTAAAATATGTTTAAAATTTTGAAATTATTAATGAGCAAGCAGCAAGCTAAAGATTCAATGAAAAAAAAATTTCCGGAACCTGTGTGACGATTCGGTTGTAATAGTAGAGCATTAGGGGACTGCCCATGCTATGTGAAATAATGATCACTTTCTTACAATCACAGTAACGGTAAGTTTCTTCAATCAATTTTGTCAAATTTGAATAATATTCTTCGAACTCATCTATAACTTTAACTTATATTTCTGCGATAAAATCCACAGGAATGGATAAGTTTATATTAACTTTTACTAAGATCAAAATTTGAAGTTGTTGGGTATGTGGTTGAATTTCAGAAATTTACTAAGAAATTGCAGAATTTTAAAATTATTCCCATAACTCTTGCTGTTCCTTTTCTCTTCGTGGTACATGAAATCTTTTTCTTCGAGACATATAATACGATTTGAAATTTCTACTTCAGAATAAAATAGAATATCCAACGGCTTACTTGGTGCTTTTCTCCAGTCATAAGGTGCACCTACAATATTTTTACCACGGCGATAGCCAAGTGGTAGGAGTGCTTCAACGATATCAGTGAAATAGCGTCCCTCCGATGCTTTTGACGTATCCAACCATTCCATGGTACTTGTGTTCTGGAATCCGGGAACACCAATCAGGACACCTGGCATACTTGATGTTTCGTTCGTTGTTTTGTTATATACTAACCTTTAATATTCCATATTAGCAGAAGTATAAAATCATTCTCGCAATAAATACACGAATGAAGTCTTGTTTACTACTTCTTTAGAAATGGGATATGTTTCCAAACATTTTACATTTACAGCCCAACTTACTTCATATTATCCACCCAACAATCGATTACTGTTGGTAAGAACAATTCCAAATTTAACCACAAATCGAAGAAATCATCCGTTTGTCGAGCACACCAATAGTGTACAGTTTCAGGTTTTCCAATAAGTTTTGCTTTCAGCTGTGAACCGCCATAACCGGGTACTGTAAATCTTACTATTCTCTAAATTTTACTACAATTATATATATATAATTGTTAGTGGAATTATAGTCATCAGATGCAAAAATGCTAAATTATATTATCAATACGTTTAAAAGCATACCCAAAACAACTGGATGTAAAGGTGTCCCTATTGTGGCGGCAATTGTAGCTGATATGATAATTGAAAAGAGTAATGACATGCCAAATGGTGATATCCAAATGATCTTCATTCCCGGAAAAATGTTTCAAAAATTTGTTTCTTTAACATCAAATTGACAAGATTGCCTTTCCCTATTTTTACTCTTTCGCATTCGTTCAAGTATAGCACATAGGCAGCAATGATTAAGAAATTTAATTGCAAGAATTAAATTCAATTAAAAAAAATATGCGAATGATAGAGTCTTAATTATAACTGAGCAGAAATATCTATAAGAAACTTCTGAAGGTCAACGATTAACCCCTGTTGACCTAAAGAACAGCAAAAAGTGCTATTATGATCATTTATATACTTTACAATTCTGATTGAAATGAGAGTTTTTGCCACGGAGGAAATTCACATAATTAATGGAGTGAAAGGATATGATAGAGAGGTCTTTCATTTGCCTTTCAAATTAGTTTCATAATCTTATGTAGAAAAGTTACAGTTCCATCTCAAGTAATTTCTTTACCCAACCTGATTTGAATTAATTAAGACTTTGTTTCAAAGAATTTTTGATATAATATAAAGAAGAGGAAGATAGAATTAAGGCACAATTGCAGAAGTAACAGAAATATCTTCTCAAATTTCAAAAATCTGATTCTCCCTTCAGGTTAGACATCAAGAACTTTTTGAATGATTTAAAACTGTTCCACTCGCAAGTCTAAATAAAAACTGGACTCTAAAAAATGATAAGGAGAATGGAGTTTACTAAAGTAATCATCTGTAATCAGATCATTCATTATCATTTCTCAACCTTTCTCAACAAATTCCAAATGCGCGCAATGAAAACAACTCAGGAAAAAGTGCAAATCACAAAATCAATTATCCAACAACCATTCCTTCATCATTTTTCTCATAGTTATAACTGTGCTTCTTTTACAAGAGAAGAGCAGTACATAATCTTCGCTGCTATCTTTAGCATCAGCTGATATTTAACACATAAGTGATCAATCAATTTCAGTTACCAAATTATCCGCGGAATTCTTTAAAAGATCACAATATATTTTATTTGCCGAGAATTCCAAACCAATCAAAAAAAAGATTTAGATACAACTAAAGTTGATATGTAAAAACACTTGAAAACAAAAAAGGACGAAGTATCAATTTGTAGTACGATCGTATTACAACATAACCTCGACTGCAACTCCTACTTCTGCCTGTGACGTAGCGCTATAATTTCTCAGCAATTGCTTTTTCGCAGCAATTGCTTTTACATCTGTCATCTTTGACCTCTGATGTGTGCAATATTCAAAAGTATGGAGGCGATATTCGTGGGAGAAGGAACGTCTCGAGCTATCGAAGCTCTTTTTAAATCTTTTTGATAACAAAATGACATCTTATCAGTCCAGAGAAAAATCAACATCAATAGTAGTCTGAGAAATTTACAGCAGTCTCAAAATTTATTTTTGTAAACAATGCTTTTTACGATTTAATGAACCATTCACTGAATGGTTAGCACGAATACTTTCTTAATTGCAGTTTGCATTGAGAGATCTCAAAGTTAATCATACTCACTAAGATGAGGGCAGCTATATTTAGAAGAAAGCAGTGATGGCAACAATGCACAAAAGTTATTGTCACATTTACTGTCTGATTAGTTTGCTGAAGTTCAGAAACGGAGTATTTCCAAACACTCTATTTTGCTGAAATGCGTTCAAGAAATGCAATGATTTTAAAGGAAATCCAAGCATCTTCAAAACTGAGTTACAGAATGGAAAATCTTTAACATTCAGGAAATAAAAGTTAAAGAATTTATTAAAAATACGGAAATCGTTATTTCCAAACAACTCCACTGAAACAAAAAAAAATAGAAATTCACTCCGTAATTTTAAGAAGTAGCTAAAAATGACTGCAAAAAGCTGAACTATTGGAAATAAGTGCAAAGATCACAAAACCTTCAATTAAAAAGCATTAGCCAGCGCTCAAGTATTTGCGTCCAGCAGCTGAAGACCGAACACTAAAAAAGGTGTTTAAGTAAGTCTTAAATGCAACTTTTCCATTTCTTACATGATAAATTAATCGCCATTACGACCCACAAAATTATTGTCCTTTGAGATGAATCCTTCCTTCTCTAAAGTATCGACTAATAAGGTTCCAAAATCTCTGCTGTTTAATACTAGTTTATTTGAAGTTTTATTTTGTTTAATAATATTTTATTTCAATGACAACACCATTGATCGAAAAACTGAAATTCAAAAAAGTTAGGCACTAAATATCCTTATATTTGATATTTTACATCGTAATACACCAAAGATTACCATTGCTGAAGCAAAAATTGTGCCATTTCAATCTGACTTGGTGTGCCTGATATTGTGATAATCCGTTCACCGTTCGGATCTTCCTCCTCAATTTTGATATGTGCACCAGATTCATCACGAATACGTCGAATACGTTCACCACCTCGGCCGATAATTGTCCCACCCAATTCATTTGGCACTGTCACCTAAAATTAATTTTTCTCAGTAACTTGTTGGATATAATAATTACTGGTAGAATCGAAGCATAAAAAAAATTTTTTCAGAGAGTAAGCTGCAAATGCAATCACATTCCAGATATAAGAACTTACTAATTTAACGAATAGAAATACTTGCATTTCAAATGTATCATATCTCAAAACATGACGATTGTGGCGCAGAAATACTGATCAAAATGATACATCTTTCTGGTTTCATTCGAGGTATACTTTTAAGAACCATATCAAATATCATAAAACTTCAATTTGATTTGTGACAACATTAATATAGCATACCTGTGCCGTCTCTAAAGGTCCATCATCATACGCAGGTGGTACTGGCCCATAAGGCGGCAAAGGAATTCGACCTCGTGGACCGTATCCTCTTATTCCCCCCCTTCCGCCATGATCTCCAGCATAACCTCCATATTCATTTGCAACCATTGGATCAAAAAAAATCGATTCATATGGACGTGAAGGTCCTTTAATTGGAATCTAAAGATGAAACTTCGCTTCATCGTTTCTCTAATTATTTATCTAATAAATAAATTCTAACTTCTATATGTTCCATTTGGTGCAATGATTAGCAATATAAAATTGATAACAAACTTAAATAAACAGAAAAACCAAGTACTTAAAATGACTGTTACTAATGATGATATTTTTTAACAAAAGTTGTGATAACTAGCAGTCAGCAAACATTGGGCTAGAGAATTTAACATACTTCTTTCAGTGTACTGATAATTGTAACCAAGCAGGCCACAATCTTTTCTGGTTTTCCATTAATTTGGATAATACGTTCTGTCGACTGGGGACAACATTCTGAATACACCTACAAAACATGAGAAGATTCATTCTGAGGTTAGAGTGATATATAAGATATAACAGAATTTGTTAATTTTACAAATCAAAAACAACCTTGAGATCAACTCCATTTTCCTCACGCAATTCCTTGATACGACTTCCTCCACGACCAATTACAGCACCTGCATGAGATTGGTGTACTAGTACTTTTAATTCCGAATCGCGATCCTGGTTATCGTGTACCTACAACATGGACATCCGATACGAAATCTCTCTATAAACATTTGTTCATGAGAAAAAATTTTCTACATTTCAAAAGTTGATAAAGATGTCCCTACACTATACATTTGGATTTGTCCATCAAACTGTAACGTCTTAAAAAATTTAAAAACACTTGGAAAGAGTCCCTCCATCCTTCATTTTTCTCTTCTAATAACTTTATTACTGTTGTTAATCCCTCCAATAGTTCTGCGAAAAATGATAGTGACCGGGCATAGCAGAAACATGGAAGAGCATCTCAAATTTCAATTTTGCCCATAAAAGCCATTAGAATGAAATCTGGATTTGCAAATGGATTTCAGAAGCAGCTTCATAACGACATAATGAATCTTCTTTTAACGATTGAAGAAAAAAGTTATGATTACATATTTATTTTCTAATTTTACTAACCTCATCGATTCTCGCAATTATCATTTCTACACATTTGACGACATTTTCAACAGTTGCAACTAACTGCACCACGCTGCAATTGAAATATCGAAAATTTGTTTGGAAGCACGGCATAGCAAAGAATTAAACATACAATAACGTCAATTACGCTATACACTCTCAACTAAAACAGTGATTTTGTTTCAAAAAATATGCGCGCTGATATGAAAATGGCAGCAGACCTTATCTTCCGACTCCAGCCTAACCTCTTGGTGAAGAATCTTAATGGAATATTAAGATTAGGAAAAACTATTATAAACCAATAATATTAATAACATGAAAATGAATCCCATATGAATGAAATATATGTCCCCGAAGCAGATCCAAGATTCTATGAAAAGGATCAGATGTTGACTGTGTTGGCGTAGAATTTAACGCTCATTTGTAATTGTCGCTAATCGTCCATGTCAATAAGCCATAATCAAGAAAACTAGAAAGTCGGAGTGCTGCCATTTCACTACTGTTTCAGCTTCTAATAGAGCATATGTTGAAATCACTAAATTTATCTCTCACAACAAGAGTAAAATAATCTTAAAAAAACTGTTCATCGAACAAAGGCAACCGGCAGAGAGAAGTTGGTATAACAGTGGGCGGGCCGCTATCCAGGTGGGCCAAATCAACACACCGCTGCCTGTGAGTTATGCGGCCCTTCTTAGCCATAGAAGTAGCATACCACCAAATCTTCTCAATCCAGTTTTGCCATACTTCAGTAAAATATAGGGAGGATTGGAAGGAGGGTTTACCGTTCAGGCGTCTGGCTATCGGGGACTGATACAGTCGCGTCGCACTGCAATGAGTTACTTACATTTAAATAGATAAACACAGCAACATGTTTCAATAGATTTAAACCGGGTTTAACTAAGCTTAGCCCAATCAGTTCATATCCAAACTTCCCAACTAAAACACGAGAATAATCATGAATTAAACCCCGCATTCTTCAAATTCAGACCATATATTCAGCAATTTCTCACCCTCGCTAAATTTTTTTAATCATTAACTTAAGCATATTTTCTATTTGGAAAATCTTCTAAATCAACTAGCAGAGAATTTTTTCCAAATGTTGAAAGCAACTTTCGGAGGAAATCTTACAAATGTTTCTCGGAATCTGCTAAGTACTTCGGCTGTCGAACTTCCAGAGGTAGCATTCGTCTCTTGCTACGATATATACATTGTACGCAGTGTACCTCACGTTGACTCAAAACCACTCATGTTAACTAAAATCAAGAAAAGCTGACGATTTTAGGCCTACCGCGAAAAGAACTGTACCTCGGTTTGAATATTTTTGACGCTTTCACCCTTTTTGCCGATGATTGCACCAGCTCCCCGACTTGTTACCAGTAATCGTAATTCATACTTTCCATCAGCCAGAGCTTTCTGATATGAATCTTGTCGTTGTCGTTTCCCAGCGGTTAACCCAGTACCATAACCATAACTGTAACCATATGGATCTTCAATTCGTTGCCGTTTCATGATGATCTAATACTGAAATCATGGATCGTAATTACATACTGGATGATGATGAAGTATAAAGTTGGAAAACGCATACAGAATTAAGGGAAGTTATTTCTCAACACATCAGATGTTTGACATACAGTGACATTTTAAGCATAACAATTGCTAAATTTGAACATTCAAAACCCATCGATAATTTCATAATATGAATGATCCAGCAAAACTAAATATATCCATAACAGCAAAACATAAAAATTGCAATGGCTACATTCCTACAAGAAAATAGATAATACAAGATGCTATTAATCTTATTCTTCTTTTAACGTTTATAGAATCTATAATATTGTAAATTCATGTCTGTCTTCGGCATCTGTCCGACATCAACAGTCTTCTTGTTGCTTATAGCCACTGTTTTCATGTAACATGATATCTATCAACTTTTCATACCATATTTTTTTATTTGACATTATACTATTCTTTTCCTTCCAACCCTCCTCCCATTTTAGTATTTCTCCGACCTTAATATTCCCCTTTCCGAAATAAAACTGAATGGAATACGAATAATCCCAAGCCAAACTAAATTAACTGTTAACAAGCTCAACACAAACCGATCCATCCGCGCACTACATACTGACAGCTACTCGATGTATCGCTCGCTTTCGCTTGTTTAACCACTACGCAATAAATTGGCTCATTGGTATCTTTAAATATCATTCACTAACTTTAAGTCTGTTCCAAACTGTACCGTATCGACCCGAATAATCCTTAGGCGTGGGAAAGATTTGTATCTAATTTCAGTAAAACGGCACAATTGCATGAAAGCATGCATCCCTCTGACATCCCCAATGACCCTTACATTGTTGCCTCAATTTTTTAGAGCTTTTGAGGTCACTTTCCTTTTTTAGAAGAGCTATTGAGATTACTTACCTTCTCTCAATTTCCTCAATAAACTATTTTTGAAGGCTAGTTGAAATCACAATGAGTCTAATGGGATATACTAAAGGAGGTCAGGAAGGCGGCGTTACCAATGAGTAACGTTCCAAAATCAGAATCGATAGAGCATGGTCCATCTGACCTTTGGCATTTACTTGCTGATCGAAATCTTATTTACTGTCATATTGTTCTTCAGTGTAATTACGTTGCTATTATTCTTACTTCCCACTTCACTCTACTCCCATCCGTTCTTATTGTCCTGAATAAATTTTCTGTCAGATTGACTTTGCATCAATCCGTTCCGTCTTTTATCTGCTGTCTGAGCAATAGAAAAGATAAGTAGCTCTGTACTCATAAAATTATCGCTCTTCTGTTCTACCGGTGAATATGTTTACCATGGCCATACCCTCCGTATAATTCATCTCCATTGGAATTTTGTAACCAGCTTTTGTAACCAATTTTGTAATCAGAATTTGTGTTGCATCTTAAACATCTACGGGGATTTTTGGTAATCTAAGATTATTCTCAAAATGCATTACTTAAAGAGGTTTTCCTTAAATCTCTTTTTTATAACTTTGTAACGAAATAGAAGGCAGAGAAAATGGAACGAAAAGTGAGGGAGGGAGGATGAAACTTAATACAATTTTGTTTATATAAAACTGTTATGTAGTCGATGGAAGGACGGGAAGTATAAAATTTTTGCATCGTCGGTTAGGTTGAGGCGAGCCATTAGGAAATCTTTCGATAAATAGATCCAACATTTCAAATCTAACGCGAATGTATCCTCATCACCGCCACTATCTTGTCTTTTCCGGTTTTTCGATACAAATTTGTCGTAAACCTTTTTTTTTAAAAAGGCACATTTATTTCCAAAGATGATAACTGATAAGAGATTATATTAATTTGAATTTGTCTGATCATTCACATAGAACGACATGTACGTCACGACATATCAGGATGAGTAATAACATCTGAGAAGAGGAACTAAAATTTCATGCTCATTTGTTGAAAATTTAATCCTCTATTTATTTTCACTGCCGCCCCTTCCATTCTTTGAAAGAGGGACTTCTTGATGTTTCCAAGTTTACTTTGTTTTGCTGTGAAATTCGTGCTAAGTCAATGAAATGATAGATAATAGGGCTTACATGAAAGTTTTCGGATTCTTTCAGAAAATTAGAAATCTGAAACCTTGAAAATAGATAGTTCTATCTTTTGGAGCATTCCTGGAGTTAGCACTTCTGATTCACGGCTTTCCGGAAATTAATTCGGTTTTTTTTACCTTTCCGTGTTTACCCTGTTTGCGACATTGTAATATCTTCCAATGCCCAATCATATTTTCCTAATGAATAAACTACGAAAAAGTATTGAAATCGTGAAATCAACCCAACAATCATGTTATCAATTCCTTACAGTTCATTGTGCTATCACGATTGTCAGGTCAATTCGGTAGTTCTTTGCGGTTTATTCGTCAAAAAGTCAATAATAGTAATTTGTGTTGGAATAATTTTAGTGACGGAGTGGTGATACTATGGTTAATGACGTACAAGTGATAAGTGTTAATGCTAATTGTAATGATGGTAAAATGACGAAGGACTTTGAACGAAACGAAAATTAGAAGTAGTAAATTTTACGGAAGAGTTCATTAAAATTTTTTTTAGCGAAATCATTGCTATTTCGAGCATATTTTCGTTCTCTTTAGTGATTACTATTTTGTTACGGACATTCACATTCTTCCACTTGTAAACATTGTGATTTCGTTTGCCCGCAGAAAATATTCGTTCGGTTGTAAGTGAAAGTATCGCAATCCAAATCATTTTTGTTCTTCATCCTTCTAGCTTTCGTTATCCAGCATTTCGACTGAAATGATAAGTGGAAGAGAAAGTAAGGCAAGCATCTCGAAGGATCAAATACATCTTAGATACTTGAATAAGGCGATGAATTCGATTTTGAAAATCTCTTTGAACATTTCGTTTTTTTATGTGATTGCTTTATTTGATGCAGTCATATAGATAATATCCAGTACTTTTCCCCAGGCTTTTCTTCTCATTTTTTGCGCTGCTCTTATGGAAAATGTATTTTAATCAAAAATTCAACATTTCCTGGAGATTTCTGTTTTTTTCCTCAAATTTTTTTAGCCAGGCCATTCTGTGACCCACTTTATTTGTTCATAAAATAAATTGCTGTACTTCAAGACTGGAATTCATTAATAAAACCACGAAATAAAGAAAACCCATTTAAAAGAAAAATTACGAGAACGAATTAAAAAGACATGGGCAGAATTATTTTTTGGGAGAAATTACATTGAATCTGTCAGCACTTTGATTATCTAACATTTGCTATCTATAAGATTTTTCTGTAAAATTTTTTCAGATCTAAAACTTTAGTAGCAATTAGCAATTGATTGAACAGTGTATGATCGTTTTTTGTCTCTCCGAATGTATATGTAAGTGTATCCACTCCTTTTTTTTTCGGAAACTATTGGTGGTAGTTTTAATTTGTGTGAAGTTCATTTAACTTTTTTCCACTATCGAAAGGAATTTCCTGTTACTGGCCATTTTCGTACTTTCCGTATTTTTATTAAATGTTGTAAGAAAAGGGAAGCTAGAGATTGCAAAGAATGCAAGAAATAAAACTTCGAGGGTCTTTAGAGCTTCAAGTTTTCATCCTGAATTTGAATGTTAAACTGAATATGATACTGTCGGAAGGATTTTCGCCGATTTTTTGCTGACTGCAAGTACTATATCTGATGCTTCTCCAAATGCTATTATCTTCCAATACTTTTAATGCTTTCAACCATATTTCTATAACAACAACATTTTGTTGACGAACAAGTTGTCTTGGCAGTCTTCAGACTAGATCGATCTTGTGCAGAAATATATTTGATACTAGTGATAGTGATTTGAATAAAAGGTCTATTTCTGAAGTGATATTATTAAATAGAATAGAGCGATCGTAAATGTGTTAAGATATGCATGATTGCATGCTTGTATGCCGAAATGAAGCTGAAGCCAATGACTCATTTATAGATTCAGTATTGCACACTATCGATTGAGAAGTTTTCTTTGATATGTGTTTAGTGAAAAGTTAGAGATGAATTTCATTCACTAATGGGAACAATGCACGCTCTTCAATTCTTTTTGCGATGTTGCGAAGTGAAAAATTAAAAATGTAGGGCAATCAAATAGTTCTCCTACTCTTGTTCAGTATTAAACTTCATTAGAAAACTTAGTTCTAAAATAGTAGCCTTAGATATAGTTTAAGATGGAGAAGATTTGAAAACTGTTTAAAATATCCCCTAAAAACACATAAATTATTGACAATTAGGATATTTATAAAACCAATTGATAGCTTTTTGTACTGTTTGAGTTGGATAAGAGAGCTGGAAAGTTGTTCATAGGAAAGAATACTCAAAATGTTTTGATAGTTAGGTGCATCGTATCAAAGCTCAGTAAAATATTCCTTCTTTTTCCTGAGACGTTCCTGATTTCATAATGGACGCCACAGCGCGGCTATATGACAATAGTTGTGGTCCGCTTTCCCTTGGGGTGTGGCGGCGTAGCGTGGTTGAAGTAGGGTGAAGTCGGATAGGTAACATGGCTGGGAGCGTAACGTAGTTTAGATCCAGGATCCGTGGTTATTTCTTTTTGTTATTTTCATACGCTTTTGGCTGGTTGGAGAATGTTTCTAGGTCATCAAGTTTTGTTGGATATTCCAAAATCTGAACTAGTCTAAGTGTGAGGCAAATCTGCACCAAGATAAAAAGCTTATTATATTTACAGTAGAGACTGCTTTAATTGTACTCCTTATCTCTCATGTTAACCTGTTATAGTTCTGAAATAAACTAACTTTAGTGATAAGAACAGAATTGAGCTAATCAGACTGTAATTCCTATCTTTCACTCGTTCACACACAGACATATGTACACATTGACGTTCCCCATTTCTCTCGAATATATTCATGGCGTGAAATAGTGTGCAGTGGGAATCTTTCGAGGAATGCTGCCCTACGCCTTAGTATTACTTGTAATACTATTCCATTGTTTTTACTCTCTCTCTCTCTCCTTCGTTTTCTGTAATCTGAGTTATCAAATTTGTTTGATGAAGCTTTTCCTTATTGTGTTATGTCGAGAAATATGTCAATCTGTATTACTGGTATCAAGTCAATATGTGCATATAGATGATGGTGTTTCGCTATTTTGAAAACGTGTGTGTTAGTTGATGAAAAGAGGAAGAATTTCCTATAATATTTGTTTCGCTCCGGTTTTTATCAGAAAATCGTGAGGATGACGAAACGATTGAAATGTTCTACTAGTATTTATAAGAGTTGTTAAGTTTATAAATCATTAATAGTCTTTCAGTTGTCAACATGTTCCATAATAATGTCGCATCCAGTTGCTTTCGTATTTCATTGAAAGCACTTTCCGTTTATCTGGAATATGCATAATAGTGTATTGGGATACGGCGAAATGATTATCATGTATCTGAATGCAGAGTAAAGATTATCACTTGACACTTATCATTTTTTGTATGTAGACACGAAGTGAACAGTTGTTGCTATTTTCAAATGCTGTGTAGATGTGCGTATGAGATGAATTTATAACTAAATTGAAGTAATGCAATTTTTTCTCTGACCATTTCAGAGTTGTTGGTAAATACATTTCATTTGTTTCGTTAAAACTTACAAAAAGATGTCTATGCAGCAGCATCGGAATGAGGAGAAAGTAATGGAAGAGGCAGTAGCAAAAGTACGTGAGGTGGTACACACAGCATCAAAGAACGACATCATTCTTGCACTTCATAATTTCGATTTTGATATTAACAAAACTATACAAGCATTTTATGATGGTTCGTCAATCATGTTTATGTTTACTTCTTAGGTTTAGATTTGAATTTTGCTCTTATATTCATATAAAAAAATTTGGGTATCTTGACTTTATGACATTATTCCATCAGTTTCAATTATTACTGAGATTTTAAGTTATTGTGCTACAGATGGTGCACAGAGCGCTTTGAGTTCATGGAAAAGATCTGGTACCTCTAATAAAAAGAATCAAAAAAAGAAGAAGATGGCCAAGGATCAAGTCAGTATTTTCGAATTTTCTTGTGGAGTTTTATGCAATTACAAGAAAAATGTCAAAACTGTTTGTCAAAACATGATTCACGTCTAATTTTCAGGTAGTGACTGCAGCAACCGCATCTACGCCATCATGCACTTGTGCACCACGTTCTGGTCCGAGAGCCCTAAATGGAATGGTCTCATCACCGGTCATCAGTGGTAAAAGAGCGCAACATTTTCAGCTTAGAAATAGTTTCAATAGATGTTTTATTTTTTTCCAACAATAGGGTAAAGGCTGTTTCGTTTTTACTCATAATCAGTCAGTTATTACTGCGATGAAGCAGAGCTTAACATAACAAACTCTTTTCTGTTATAGGATTATTCTTCAGGTCGAATACAGACATTGTTAGAAAAAAACAAACATTATAAGTTGGTTCAGTAAATTATCATTTGTATAGTTTAATGCCATTTTCTGTTTAAACAGATTAATGCCATTTTTTTAATGGAAATGATTTTAGCAGCTGTGGTATTGTACTGCCATTCTAAAACATTTTACATAGCTTTTTTTATTAAATAGAAATTGATATAATAATAGGAATTGTAGAAGCAGCGATTCCAGGCAGTCGATCTGAAACTATACCACTATCAACATCTGAATCACGAAAATTAGTGGCAAGTGCTGGTGCTACTAAAATATCTTCTGCTAGTTCTATTCGGTCAAAATCAGCAGCACTGAGTGAAATCCAGAGCCTTGATAATGGTCACGTTTGTGGAGATATTGAATGATTTTTTTTTGTATAAAAATTTATTTTTCACTTTTCTAACGTATACTTTTTTCTATGTGTCATTTCTAAGGTTGGCTGTTCTGATAGGGATGGAAAGTTCCGAATTGTAAAAATTTTTTATGTACAAGAATTCGAAATTCCATTGCTAAAAACACATTTCTTGCTTAGCAGAATTTCGGCGTATGTCATTTCATCGATAAAATTGTTTTAGGTGCGGCAGGATTGAAGGACCATGATAGGCAAATTGAAAAGGTAGAGACTGTTTTTGAAAACCAGCTTTCCATAGCTGAAGAAGATGTGCGGAATTCATTTAAGGTGAGTAAACATCAAAAATAAGTGTATTCTAGAATATTTTTGCTGTGAATGTTTTAATGTCCAGCTGTGGAATACCGGAAAAACAGAGTAAACTAATGATAAAAGAGTATCTCGGCCATTCAAAGAGTGCGACTTCAAGAAGAGAGATGGGGTATATATGCAAAGGCAGAGAAAGTATTAATTTTCATATAAAAAGACTTATTATGCTAATTGATCATACTTTGTGATAGTAGCAAATGTAACTGAAAGTCATAATTATCCGGTTTAGTGTATACGCCAACTTTTGGTTGAACGTGAAAATCATTTATTGGCGGAGTTACAACGAACACATGATGAAGGGACACGATTCTTCAATGAACGTCGTCTGCAATCTTGTGAACTGTATGATCGTGCGAAACGAATGAGCGCAATGAGTGATCGTGAACAAGCAGAATTGCGTGATGAAATTGCAAGATTTAATGCGGAAAAGCAGAATGAGGAAGGGATCGCTTTAGCAACTCGTTTTCACTGCGATAGTGCTCAACTCGTCAAACTTGTTAAAAATTTCGGTGAAGGTATCATAGAACTTGATTTACACAATTTTTGTCACTTTATTAAGACTGGAATAGAAAAAGTTAAAGGAGCATTTTACAAAAGAAATAAAGTCATTTACTAGGACATTTTACATCTAACATCTAGTGATAAATTTCCTTGTTTCCACCAGAAAATGGTTTTACCAGACCATTAAATGGTGGTAATGTTTACCATTAACTGGTGATAATGCAGAGGTCCTTTCAAATATTTTGCAACGATGGAGACAATGTGCTACCTGATTACAATTTCATAGTATAAGCTTCATAGCCATGTATTTCTGGATATTGTTATAATTCTGTTTGTAACGGAAGAGATAAAAGTACTATTTATTTATCACATTCATGATATTTTTAATAACTTTTTCCAGTTGTTGCTGTGAATAGCACAGCCAGAAATGAGACAAATTTAGTAGTTCGTCAAGCAGGAATTGCTGCATCAACTTATGTAATGAAACATTCGACAAGTTATTCGTCCATTGTAAGCTCACTTGGGGAAGATTCGGGACTGGGACAAATTAGTCCAGATGGAAATGGTGCGTTTTAAAATTGATTTTGGAGAAGTAAGAATTGAAAAGAAAATCTGATTACTATTAGTTAATTGGCTTTGTTATACTATATTTTGTTGAGGGTTTCAACAAATGTAACGGGCTACCACTAAATAAAGTAGAACTAATAATTCAGGGTTTTTCATATCTGTAACTCTTGTCCTGCAGTTTTGCGGTATTGATTATAAAAATAAGTGGCAAAGTTTTTAGAGGACCGTAAGAATGTAGCAGAAATCTCAAATGGAGGGATTTTGATGAAATCCGACGCTTTAACTACTGAACAGCTGGCGGATCTCAATAAAAAACTGCAGGAATCACTGAAAGCACAGGTGTGTTTTGTTTAAACAAGGCAATGATAATTTTAATCTGTTATTAATTGTATGATTGTCATTATTAATTGATGGCCACATTGAAAAAAGTTTGATTCCAGCATGGGGGTTCCTTGGAGGAGGAATCTCCTTGATTGATTAATATCGTAGAGTGCTTTTTGTATTATCCTAATCCGATTTTCAAGCTGTAGTTTAATAAAGAAATGGAAATATGTTCAGGGTATTGATGCTTCGATTTTATCTGGTATTGGTAGTAGGAATGGAATGCCAATCAGACGACGTCCCCCTGGCGGTAGACGAACAGGACAGTCAAATTCAGCGCGAGGAGGACGAGGAAGAATTCAATACAACAGTGGTAGCAGCAAAACATCGCTTGTTCGAGTTCCGGATCTTTTTATCCTAGAATCTTAGGCCTAAAATTAATGCATATTTCATCTCTGGTTATATCAGATTGTTTGCTCATTTCGAAATGTTTGATTTTGATTTCATTTATGGTTTAATCACGTTGAAATATTTAGTCACTTATACTCGAAATTGTGCCGAATATCTGGTTGAAGAGTTTCCACTTGCAAGATTGCTTAGAGCAAAGTTCATTTGAACTATTTGAGGGGACAGATGCGCTGCACATTTCATAATAAAAAATAAAGGAAATGAATCAACAGTAATTTTCGCACTTCGAGTTTTTTTCCTTTTGAAATTGGTAGTGGTTTTATGATTATATGTCTGCTTATCGAAAAGGTTTTCTACTTTTGTCATGTTGAGCACTCGCTTCCTAAGATCACATTGTATGTTTTATCAAATCTTTTGAGCATTAAGCTTTAAATGTTGGTAATAGATTCCGTGTCTCATGTCGTTAATCTGGAATATATTGTTCGAAACATGGAATGTATTATATGCTGAAGAATAGCATGAAACAAAAATTTTTGATGTTGCATTTCGTGAGGCTGTCAGATTTTATTAATTTCAAAATTTCTTTCCATACATTCTTTCCTTCCATACATTTATCCGTTTTTCTTTCTTCGGTCTGTTTTTCTGTGATCCAGCATAGTCCATGTCTCTCATGTTTTTCCCGAATGTTTTTTTTCTTGTTCTGCTGCCTCGTCACCTCAGAGTGCACTTGTGCCCGTTTCTTTCTTTATCTATCTTTCAGTCATGAATTTCTACCGAATTTACTTTTGAACCTGAATTTCTTCAATTAATTGTTGCGGAGTGCTTTAGGTTGCAAGTATTATAGGATATAAAGTTTAAGATTGGTAAATCAAACGTTCTGTTATGTAAGTGTCATTGATGTGGTTAGTTGAGACGGCTATATAGCAATAGTAATGGTCGTAATATTGTTTTTATTAATAGAAGTTCAAAATAATGGGTGCCTCTGCCTGGATTAATTGGCTTTTTCCAGCGATTGAAAGGGTTTTATAAACTATTCATAGATAATTCATGATATTCAAAGGCCGAGTTATTCATGATTTTGAAATTCATTAGTTACTATGCTTTAAAATGTCTAGGTTTCAGGAACTTTTGAATAACTTCCAAACTTATGGGGATTTATAGACCGCCGGAAAAGTTTGGTAGTACTTCAAAATGACGTTAGCAATTTATTGCAATTCACAATTAAAGCAATTCGTTAATAATTCACGATCCTAATTCTTTTGCAACCACATCACATTTTTGCCTTCAATTATCAGTGTATGTGTGTGTGTGTGTGTGTGTGTGTTTGTGTGTGTGTGTGGGCGTATGTGTGTCTGTGAGTATTTTTTATAAAAGAAACACATTTCAAATGGTACGTATTCGCTCATTTCACTTTCTATTGTACTGCAGTAATGTGAAAAAATCATCTCTGTATTTGCAATAATTTATCATCCATATTTTTCCTGAGGTTTTTGGGTGCATCCTTTCCTGTTTGTATTCCTTTCAAACAAAAAAGTATGACTTTCTTTTCTATCAATAAATTATTCCTTTCGCATTTGTGTTATTCAGTCTGAAAAATAGACATTGTGTTCAACAAAATATAATTCATTTAGCTGAGTTTTCACAATCAATAGGCGAGATCTTTGGGCAAAGGTGATCTAGTTTTGGAAATGTCTTCGTGATTTCTGTCAATATAGATTTTTTTACTGTTCGGAGTATGTCCCGATTTTTATCTGGTGGGTGGAGAATGAACATTTTTCCTAGAGTTGGGAGATGGAGGGGGTTTATATAATGAGAATAATAAGTAATCATATTGGATTTAAAATAATGAAATTAGAATTCAGGGTGAAACTATGGTATGTGGAATTCTGTGGAACAACTTGAAGTCGATAGTTCGCAAGATACAACGATGCTATCTCTAGTTCATATACTACGCTGTTGAATTTTCTAGAGAATTCAGGTGGATTTGGGTTCTGAAGTTCGAAGTTGAGAATTTATAGTCAGATACTAGTGGTTTTTTGATATAGTTGAACGGGATGAACCCAAACCAGGTTTTTTTTTAATAATTTGTTTTAAAGCTTAGTCTACAGATATCGCACATCTGTTCCGGAACTCCTTATTTATTCGCAAGAATAACCGTCGTTATAATCCAGTGCAAGATTGTCAGGTCGTGGGCATAGTAATCGGATAAACACCAAATGGCAGAGTTGAGAGAAAAGTACTTGATGGTTTCTGATGTAAATAACGGAAAAATTAGATTTACCAAGTTATGAGTAGAAAAAACTCCTAGACGTTAGTAAGTTGAGGGCACTGACTGTCAAGAAACAGTTTTCTTCCCATCATTGAGCGATGACAGTATGGAAGATTCATTAATTGTGGATGGTGACTGTTTGGCGCGATTGCATCTCGAATTTTCTAATTTTACAGATATTTATGAAATCATACACATATTTATTCTGTAATAAACTTAACAATATTGATTGTAGATGAATATATTACCACTCGGTTAAGCATCTTGAAAGATGTCGTTGATACCCGTTATCTGCGAAATTTATTGCTACCTCGTTATCTGCGAATATTATTGCTACCCCGTTATCTGACTGCTACATTTTTCCCTTCTGCGATTACGTGAACTTCAGATCCAACAACCTTCATCTATATGTCGGTCACGGCAAACATTAATTGCAATCGTCACACCTTTTATCATACAAGATTTTCTATTATCAAATGAGATCAGTCTTTCCAGTTAATGTGTATATGTCAAAAACAAAACAAAGATGAAAGTCCAAGCTCCAAGAAGATCACAAACGAATGCACCTACCTCACTTAACATCACGCATTCACCCTCTCACATTCAAAAATCATTCCAAGCCACCAACTAACTGATTAGGTGGGTAAGCAAGTCATAAGAGAAAAAAGTGTGTTCACTTCTTTATAGGTTTTCTTGTTGTATTTGTTCATGTTTTACTGGTGGTATCTCTTAATTCGTTGTAGAATTATTGGATATAACTTCTCTTAATTCGTTGTAGAAAAATTGATCCAATTTTAATAAATTCATCGCGATTACTCTCTTCGACATATCAAATTACAGTTATTACACTTGATCTATAACCGTGGTATTGTTATTATTGTTATGTGTATGTTATTATTATCCAATTTTGATAAATTCATCGCGATTATCTTCTTTATGATATCATCATTGTTTAACATATTTCTATGACTTTTCAGTTCATTTCGCTTCATTATCACATTAAAAAATTATCCTGAATATTGAATCCATGAGGAGGATGCATCAACCTCAATGGCTGATGAATTGGAACCATTGTGTATCCCAGTGGGTCTTTACGTGAAGCCATCAGCCAGAATGACGGTTACCGTATGTTTGCCTCCGTTGAAACAACCTGGGCAATCGATTTCCAATTGGGATTTGATGGAAAAAATCAAGAAAGCTGTTAGTCCTATTGAGGTACTCACTATTTGCTTTTCATTTTGCTTTAGAAAATCATATTGAATAGTGAATGGCAACTATATGCCATGCCACACAGTTGTTTAGTTTGTTGTTGATTAAGATCGTCTGATTTTATTCATAGACATTGTCATACTTGCTGTCGCTTCAGAAATATATTTGGTTATTACTTTCGACCTTAGTTCAGCTGTTCTTCTTGAGTACCTTTACCTTCGCTTTGATGTGTTAGTACAACAAAAACCTACATTTGTCATCTTTGTTTTGCAGCTTTCATCGATTCGTGTCATGACAAGTACCATCGAGTTGGTTCGATTCGAGGCAGAGCTTCCTAGCCGCAAGATCCTTGCTAAGGTTATAAGTTAAACAATCATTTGAGCTATTGTGTATTATTTATTTATATTCAAATATTTGATAATATCTTCCAGTACAAATTCACTTTAAGTACAGCACAAAGATTCTATTCTCAACCATTTATCTCGACATCAGCCATTAACTTCTACTGAAAGTGTACCCTTATTTAATTGGTTTTTTCTGTGACTTGGCTCTTCATGTTGTCAGTCGTATATCAAGAGGTCGTATTTCGAAACATCTTTTTTTCCCAGCTGTTAAACAGATAGATATCTCATCTCTCCTCATGAACTATGTGTGTCGGAAAATCGAAACATTTCCATGATATAAATCTGCTGGAATAATATTAAGTATTTTGGCGCCGTAGAAATTTATATTGCAATGATTGTTCTTCAATAGGTCAAAATGTGTATGTAGAGTTTTAAGCAGCGGTTTTTTTTAGTTCTTTTTGTCTCCAAAAGAGATGCGCTTCGCTATCAATTGGTTGTAAAATATTGCTTACTTAGCTCATCTTCGTCCAAAAGGAATATAAGAATATAAGTGGGACATTTAAGGTCGAGTCATTATCATTGTTATATTATTGCTATTTCATTGTTAATCCAACTCACTTCGATAAGTTTTATTATCAGTACTTTGATAGACGAATTCGGGTGCTTTTTCAACACAGCGACTGACTCTACTTCATAATATCCGATAATTGTGTTATAAGGTTTTTAGAAAAGCGAATAATCCGTGACCTAATAAAATTTTTGTCACAGCTGTTCGATTTTGCCACAAGAAGAATGAGACAACTTGCACGACAACATGACAAAAGATCACGTCGCTCTTTCTTGGATTTTGTCTTCATTGATGGCAGATGTACTTTTTAGGTTATTAAAGCTTTGGATGGTTATACACTGAAAGTCATGGGTTTCTTTGAACCGCTAAAAGTCCGAGCAGCGGAAGCGAAGTCGGACTTTCCTACTCGACATGACTGGGATGAATTCTTTCGAAATTCAGATAATATGAACGAACTGGAAGCCGGTGAACGACCGGATACTATATACCTAGCTAAAGTGCCGTCGAATTGGTTTAAGGTCAGCTGCTATACCTTCATAATTTTTACATTCTCCTACCTTTTCTATAATTCTATAATACTTTCGATTAAATTTCATGTGCTAATTAGTGTTTCATACTCGTTCTTTATCGTTCTGGATTAAAGTACACTGGGCTTTACTGATAAAGCAATACAATATATACCACAATTTGTGACGTTCGAATTTAAGTTTTGATTTTCTCTTGTGTTAAATTTTGAATCCTTTCATTTTCTAGGAATTTGGCTCAACTGATGACTCAATGCCCAATGAACGTGTTCTTCAAAATGTCTTCGAACGTTTTGGAACAGTTCGCTGTGTTGATATCCCAGTTTGCGATCCATATAGGAGAAAAATGCCTGCTAAAATATCTGGTGTACGCACCACAGGTTTCTCTTTCGGACAGGTCAGCCCTTCACTATAGATGGGAAATGTATGGCTATAATTATTTCACATCGCAAATATTCTCAGTTCATCCATCTCAAGTTTCTGCAATTTAAGAACTGTTGTACTAATCCTTTCAGGAAGTATTATTTGAAGGATATGTGCAATTTGTAGAATACATATCATTTGTCAGAGCGATGGATTTCTTGCGTAATAAGAAGTTAGTGAAAAAGATGCCGGATGACAGGATTTTTGAAGCAGCTATCAAGGTTAGCAAATGTCATGCATCAAAATTTGTGGTTTCATGTTTCAAAGAGTTGGTAGAGATAAAGGTATTGCATAATTATCATTAAAATAATGAGTACGCTCACGAATAATTGATTTAATTTGAATTCGTTTCTGCTTTTTAGGTCGATTTTGATAAAAATAAACATTTATCAGACAAAAGCATATATAAAAGATATGTCGAAAGGGAACGATTGAAGGAACTGGAGAAGCAAAAAATTTCGGAAGAACGTCGAAAACGGTATGAAACTGACTTTTTCATCTTTATTTCCATAGCAGTTCAAAATCCCCTTCCAACTGTAAGCTACTGTAATATGGGAGAGATGATAACGAGAGGAAATTGAAAGAAATGATAACTCTTTTTGATGATGCAAGCATAAATTTATTGCTTGTAGCACAGTATACACGAGTACTTATATGCAATATATTGATTAATTCTAATTTTTGTCCCCGACACGTGAATTTCATTTGAATAAACTGCTATTAACTCGAAATTGATTAAGTTTTAACACCTGAAGTGGAAAATGGGTGAAGCATTGAGAATTTGGAGTAAAAACGCTTCCACTTTACAAATTTGAAGATGAAAGAACCTTGCTTGTATTCTGTTAGTAAAAGGCTGATTGACCTTTTAGCTTTTCTCAGCTCAGCAAAATAAACGAAAGTGGAACAGAATATGTTCATACTGAACAATGTTCATTTTTGCAGTGAAAAAGAAGAGAGCAATAAAGCGAACACCAGAAAAAGACACTTCGATCGTTGCTTACAAAGGGAAGAGAAACAGCGCCAAAAAGTTAGTGTTTTCATTTTGAAAAGTTCGAAAGTTTTCTCTGTTTTGTGGTTAGTTTTTCGTTTCAAAAGCTATTTAAAAGTTGAGATATTGAAACATCTTAACTGTACGACTGGGCTTATCATTTTTAACAACTTACTGCAATAACTCAGCAAGTTCCAAAAAAAATAAATGAAGTTTTCTTATTATGGGAGCTTAAATCCTGCATGACTAGTTTCTTTTTATTATTTTATTAAAATCAGTGATGTTGCATTAGTCGTCTCGTATCATAAGAAAAAAATTATTTCGAACTGAAAGTTCAGCGAAACAAGGAAAAGCGACTGAAGAAGGAATGTCTATTGAATGAAATGATAGCGGAGGAAGGAAGAAAATTGTTAATTGCGCAGCGGAAATTGGAATCAAGGAGACTGCTTTCGGCACTTTTTTGGAGAATTGAGGTAGTTTCTTATTTGTTGAGTTTGAGGAACTGTCCTGTCCTAAATCTGTTCTCGATCATTTTCGAGGGGTTGAACAAGATAATTATAAAACTTGAAAATGTAGAATGTGATGGTTTAATTTCTGTTAAATAATTCACAGCGCCTCTTAGGAACTCTGCTTATTTTTTCCACAAATATTTCCTGATAAAGAACGAAGGATATTTAGGCAAAACTGCGAGAAAAAGATTCTGGATTGAAAATGAATTCGGGGGATTTGGAAGAAAATTTGCAGACTGAACTGGAAACGAAACTGCGGCAAGCTCTTCTTCAAGAACAGGAACAAAGATTGCGAAAACGAGTATGGTTTTCCATCCCATCTCTATTTTTGTAAGCTCATCCAGTTCTCTTTAAGCATCATTACATAGTTTAATCTCTTACATCATATCGTTCACATCAAACATTAATATATATTAAAGAATAAGGTTATTTTAGATCATTACTCCTAAGATAACTCATCAGATTTCTTGACTCAGTGATAAATAAGTAATCACTGTTTTCAGATTGAAGCTAAAATGATGCTCAGCAAATTACATGCCACTAAGAATGAAGATCGAAAAGACTAGTATATTTAAAGGTTAGATGTGGTCCAATGACATGTGAAAAGTGTCGCATGCTCTCCAATGATGTATAGAAATATCAATATATATGGAAGTACTTAATAATTTTTTATAACTTCCTCATTAAAGGAAGCGAAAAGCGAAAACTTCATCCTTAATCAGTAAGGTGGATGCAGAGCTTCTCGTCAGGTATTCGGTAGTAGTAATTATACATTTTAACTTAATTTGTTTTAGGTATTAGTCTAGTTTACTGTTGTATTGTTTTTGATATATCGATATGTAATAATATATTGTTTGCATCAAATAAATACGCGTTTCTTTTTTTCCTCAAGCGATCTGTGCTCCCTTTCAGTTACCTCGCTAACAAATGAAGTTAGAATATTTATGCATGAATTTTGTGGAAATACAACATCCCAAGCTCATTTTTGGCGCTTGTATTTGGGAAGGTATTCGAGAAGCCGAGCTAGAACTGTATCTGTGAATTGATTTTTAATGTCAGTCGATGACAATGCAATTCCCGAATTGTTACAGCAGCAGGAAGAATAATAGAGGTGCGAAAGATATAAAGACAAATCACCAACAACCTGATATTTTGTTGACTGCCTAAATTCTCAACTTAAAAATAGAGAAAATTTATTTCTTCTTTTCTTTTTCTAAATATCTGACTGATGTATCCATTCCATACTAGAACTGTGTGGAAAATGCTTCCCATTTGGATTTGAATTGTCCTCTCATACGTATACCGGAAGATCTGAACGTAAAGCAGGAAACTTTTACTTTGTTGTCTGCTAAAGAAGTTGAATTCACATCGTCAACCTATCGGACAGTTACTAAATTAACTGGATGATACGATTACTCTAGTCAACAATACTCTGTAGAGTATTATCTGTGCTGGGACGCAGTGTGATACAGCGTCACCGCATTTCCAATCAGGTCTGGCCTACCTGGTAGACGAGATTTAGGTGCAGATAAATCAGTTGTGTTATGGGGAATGTGGTCTTTTTTCTCGGGATGGCGAAGTATTGCGTCTCAAAGCAGAGTTAGGATTGGTGTAATATATGAAGAATAGGGAATGGTAATGAAGCAGTGTTAAGAAAAAGTGAATGGTGATAGAGGTTACAGTTACTTCTTCTATGGAATAAAGTTTATATAGCATTAATTAACATTGAAGATATCATTATTATCATAAACATCATTTTACTTGCGAAAATATCGTTTCAAACTTTATCTTTCGTTCATTCATTTCAGAATATAATTGTGTATATGTTCATCATATTTAAGTTAAAAGAGAATGATGAAACCGTTATCACTGAAAGGTCATGATCGTGCATTAACCCGAGTACGTATTAATAGAGACGGCGACTTGTTATTCTCAGCCGGAAAAGATAAAAGTCCATGTGTGTGGTACATGGAAAATGGTGAAAGGATCGGTACATACGATGGTCATAACGGTGTAATCTGGGATATTGATGTCTCTTGGGACACGCGACATTTTTGCTCTGCCTCTGGTGATGTATTTGTCAAGGTGGGTCTTTTTATTTGTTGTGCCCTAAGATATTTTTAACGTGTCATGCACGAATTTACTTTTAACTTTTCTAATTATATAGAAAATCAGTAGGAGATTTATTCTTAAATCCGTATTGATTATTATATCTAGCACTTTTTTACATTGGTTGTGTTCGCATGTGTCTGTATGTTTCTATTCATTTATCATAATTGCACCCAAGTAGGACTTTCTTACATTGATTGTGTTCGCATGTATCTATATGTTTATATTCATTTATCATAATTGAAAAGTCATTTTAGTTGTGGAATTGCGAAACAGGTGATGCGATAAATTCAATTTCAACACCAACAGCTGCGCGATCCATTAGTTTATCCTACAGTGGGAATCTGATTGCCTTTACAACTATAAAAATGACACAGAATGTGGTTCGTCCATGCTTAATATTATGAAACACTATTTGTTGAGTCGCTGTACTTCAGAAATAAGAAGAGAAAGCTGCAATAGTCTTGACAAAAAACATTTTATAACTAGTGAAATTATGATTTCATTTTTGCTGCATTGTGTGTTTGGAATGATTAGTTTTCATTAATATACTGTTGGTAACTTCGAAAAATTATTATTTATGTCAAAATAAGGAAAAGATGAATGTGCAATGAACAGCAGGATTTACTACTGAAATCTTCAAGCGAATTTTTTTCAAAAGCTGATGTGTGGCCATATTTGGCTGCAACGCACTAATGCAGCTGTTGCGATGAACTGAATAGTAAAAGAAATCAAATGATCATACTGAATAATTATAGACTAATTAAGAAAGCTTGCATATAAATTTGAAATATCAGGGAAAAATAATTTGGGGTGGTACAAAACAGGTCGAGTTGAAATTGAAGTCATTTTTACTCACTTCTGTGCTCCAGCGAGCTGTCGAATAATTTCTTTTTTGTGTGACGACTTTTTAGGCGTCACTGTGCGTGTATGATATACGAGACGGTTCACAAATGAGTGGCGAGAACCAGCCCACATTCAGGAAATCGCTTCAGACGCAAGCCAATTCCTGTGTTTGGACACACTTGGATGATACAATTTGTATAGGTAGGTATTATTCCTCTCTTGAGAGGACTTGTGCTTTTTAAGTGGGATTTAGACAGATATGAGGCCTGCAGTTGACAGGAGCATCATATTTTCTGATATATGAACTTTTTTAATTTGTATAACAATTCGTTTCCATTGCAAAATTAAACGAAATGAAATATTTCTTGGAAAGCCACGAATTACAGGTTGATTGTTTTATGGTTACATCACTTTTGAGGTTTGCTGGATGTGAAGTTTAATTTCCTAACCAGTCTGTGATTATCTGTTAGATAGTATTCGAAAGTGCAGTTTCGTACTTCCTTAACATTATCAGAAATTAGATCGTTGTCAAGAAGGTCTTAAATCGGACACTTTTTATTTTAAGAAATAGAGGCTTGCTAGCTTCAAATTTCGGATTTTTTGATCATCTTTCGTTGACGTAGTTTTTCATAGAAATTATAATTTTGATGAATTGAAAGGTCATCAGTGACATTTGAAGTGTATCCACTCAACTGACCAAATAGAGCGCTCTGTTATATTATTATTACTCAATTTATTTGCAGGTAACGAAAAGGGAAATATTCATCAATATGATATACGCAAAGGAGATGACATTGTAAATTTCAATGATGAAGCTCATAAGTTTCAAATTAATGATATGCAAATAAGTACTGATGAAAGTTTCTTGATTACTGCTTCCAAAGATAAAACAGCTCGGCTGTTTGATGCAAGGACTTTAGACTGTTTAAAGACATACAAGTAAGTTTTATGCATATCATTGAAAATAGCAAATTTTTAGTTTCCTATGAAACATGAAATTGAAACTTTCTTTGATAAACGTTGTGATTGTTATTTACTTTACTATTGAGTCTTATTTAGAAATGAAGTTTTCAATTGCTGAAACTTGTCGCACTTGATCTCATTTTAATGTTTTAGGACAGAACGTCCGGTTAACTCAGCGGCGATTTCACCCATTCGAGATCATGTTATTCTTGGTGGTGGTGAAGAAGCAATGAAAGTAACTCAAACGACAGCTGCTTCTGGTCATTTTGAAGCGAAGTTGTATCATTTAGTAAGCAATTAAATTATTCTCATTGTAATTTCGGATTACTTATTGCTTTGATTTTTCTCAGTGCTTTTGAATTTCTAAGTTACAAGTTTTTTAAAACGAGTGATTACTAAATCAATATATCAATTTCCTTACAGGTATTTGAAGAAGAGTTTGCCCGTTTTAAAGGGCATTTCGGTCCAATCAATACTCTGGCTTTTCACCCAGGTGGTAATTGTGTAGTATCAGGTGGGGAGGATGGTTATGTTCGTATTCAAGAATTTGATGCAGATTATTTGAAATTTGACTATGATTTCTGATATTAAATACTTGTAAAAGAAGGTGTCTATAAATTCGAATTGTTTAAAAAAGATTGTTGCGAAATTGTTCAAAAAAGGTTGTTGCGAAACGGAGGAGTGAATAAATGGAAAGACGGAATGCAGTATGATGATTAGTGCCCGAAAACCAGCGGATATATGTTATTGATCGCACGTATATCTGCTTGAGTGATTTTAATACTTTATTGTCTGTTTTTATTGTTAGTCGTTTATTAATTTTTAAGATATTGTTGTCACAAAGCAAGCTTGAGATTATTTTCGAGAGTTTTAATAAAAGATCAGAAAATTAGTTTGCAATGTTATAATTTGAAAAGTTATTAGTGCATTTTATTTCTATTGATTTTTTACATCATAAAAAGGAAAAATATTTCAATCTCGCAGCAGAAGTGAGTATTATGTATTTGTGTAAAGCGACAAAATTAGAATTTTGATGACTTGAATGAGATTACAATGAAATGTACTGAGAAAAGATACGTGCGAAATCTGGTAGAATTATTGTTGTCATCGAAGGAGTTCATTTTTATGTTACGACTTTTAACGGTGGGCAGTGCATTGAGGAGCGTGGGATTCAGAACAGCAATAATGAGTGTTCGCTTGCTAGGTGAAATTACTAGTTCTGATGATCACAGATATACAAAATCGGCATTCGGTATTCATAATCGCTTTAAAACAAAACATCTACAGAAACTTGTTTTCGCGAAGTGAAAATTTCTAGAAAGTCCCTCAAGTAGTCTTTCATATCATAGTGGGAAAACTCTCTTTCGAAGTTCAAACAATTTCATTTGTTATGTTTTTTTTGAGCGAAAAAATTTCCTAATTATTACCTGCAACAAATTATGCATTTGTTGAAATGTTTGTTTAATCGGTTTCCTTTGAAGTCTTCTTCCGAGCCAGTCACTAAACTCTCTGCACGGGGTGTGTGGTCCTCACGCGTTTCCCCTCTAAAAAAACGGAGGACTTTTTCTCAACCAACAGTTGGGCAAATAAAATGATTTGTTAGTTACAATTCAGAAAAGAGCCACATGACGGTTGGAATTTTTCGAAA